GATGATTTCAGATTGAGCCCACTTGATGTTATTCTGATGAGTCCAAACATGCTCTGCTATTCCGGATTTGCTGGTTTCTCCTCGCTGTGTATGTTTCTTGTGTTCAGCAATGCGAACTTCCAATGGCCTCTTAGTTTCACCGATGTATGATTCTCCGCACTCGCAGGGTATCCGGTAAATGCAATTCTTGGAATCGCATTTGATGGCCTGGTTTTTGTGAAGCTGCTACGGATAGTGTTCCCAGTTCTGAAACAGGTCCTGATGTTATACTTGGACCCAATTCTTCTTATCCTTTCCGATAATCCTCTGATGTAGGGAAGTACAAGTACTGGTTGTGGCGGTTTCTCTTCCTTGTGAAGCTCTTGCTGTGTTCTAGCTAAAGCCTGTTCTACCATCACTCTGGAGTAACCATTCCGTTGAAGGTAATTTTTGATGATGCGTGTTTCTTTTTCGAGACCTTCCTCTCTATTACTCTCAAAACGACACTAATGGTAACCATTGATAACGCGTTTGTATGTACTATGTTATCATTATTTTCATAAACTTCACCTCACGATTTGATCTCCACAAACTTTATTTGAAAAATATATCACGACATGTTTCGCTAACACAGTAGCTTCTTCAATAGTGATTTGAATAGTACAAGTTGCTTCTTACGCTAATTCTCTACAATTCTCACCTGAGTTACCTGAGGTACCTCTTCAATTATGATTACCTGAAGTATATTGCCACACTTCTACATCAATAATAATACTTCCTCAAAGAAACAGTTGTCATAAATCGCTGTTTCAGTGAAGGACATTTTCCGAATGTTTATATTATATTAGACAATGGAAGTCCGAACTGATGAAATACAAAGCAGAATACTGGTTTACATTCAACAAACTGAAACTTATAAGGGAAAAACTATATCTTCTTATACCAGGATAACAATCAGAACTCAAGTTGAATTGTTAGGTATAATTATAGATGAGTCGCTCCGATGGGAATCACATATTGACCATCTCTGTGAAAAACTCTCGACACAGTTGTTTCTACTTCGCCAGTTGAAAGAAGCATTGAGTCATAAAATACTTCTCATTTCCTCATTTCAACCTTTTTCACTGTCACCTTTCATATGGCACACTCCTTTGGGGTAGATCTACTTACGCGATCAGGGCTTTTCGCATGCAGAAAAAAGCCATCAGAATTACAGCTGGAGCTCCATTCGACGCACACTGTCAACCACTTTTTAGAAAATTGAGAATAATGTTTTTGCCCTGTAGGTATGTTGATTTTCTACTCACTGTTAAAAATACATAAAAACAAAATACTACTCTAAAAACACTCAGATCATCATAATTATAAAACTAGAAATGAGGGACAACTCAGACAGCCAAGATTTCGTTGAAATTTTCAAAGAGTACCTTTTACAAAATTGTTTTTATTATGTACATGATTTCATGAAAAGTACATATTTAGACTAAATCGCCTTATATTTTTTTAAACATAACTATTTAAATACATATTTAAGAATCTTTTTTTATAATTCGATTCGTCATTTGTGAACTATTTTTCAATCATTTTCAGAATTTATATTTGATGCTACTTTTATATTGTTCTCTCTATTCGCACACTAATTTGTACCAACTGTCTATGACTTGTCACAAATGTATATTCATAACGTGATTTAATAAAAATCTCTCTTTCTATCTATCACTAAACTAATATCATCTGCGTAGAGGTATTTTTCTGTCTATATTATTGATATATAATAGAAATAAGAGTGGCCTAAGTATGACTTGTCACAAATGTATATTCATAACGTGATTTAATAAAAATCTCTCTTTATATCTATCACTAAACTAATATCATCTGCGTAGAGGTATTTTTCTGTCTATATTATTGATATATAATAGAAATAAGAGTGGCCTAAGTATAGATCTCTGGGGTACTCCCAACTGGATCGATCTCATTTCCGATGTTAACAACGAATGTCTACTATATAATAATTTGACCTATCAAAAAAAGAGTTAGAAATTATGCATAAACCAACGTTGCGGACGTTAATATGTGCATCCGTCTTCAGAGTTTTGACATCTGAAAATAAAGCGAACCAGTGTAGAAAAAACACGTTCATAAATCTCATTACAATTGTTACATTTTTTCAGATTGTGTGAGGTGAGAGTACCCAAAAGAGATCGATAATGTAATAAAACTTGAAATGGAGGGGTTATATTTTAAGGAGTGATTAATTTTTGGGAAAGTTTTTGGAGTAGTAGAAAGCCAAAAACTTTCTTTTCCAAAAATAATTAAAATGTGTTGAAAATAAAAGCAAAATGAGTTGAAACCTCTAGTACACATAATAAACTCACCATTTTGCCGCACTTTTTCGGAAATCGTTTGACTTTTGACTTGAAGACACTCGAAACAAAAATCCTGCACTTATTTTCACCGGCCACGGTATAATCGAAAGGACAAGGTCTGTTGATCACATCTTTACTCAACTCCAAATTATTTCTAGCTGAAGATGTGTTGAAAGGAGGTCGAAAGGTCGAATATCGAGTTGCCTTTTGTAGTTTTTCCAAAATTGGGCTTTTTATTTGATAAACATCAGGTCCTATAAAAAGTTTGATAACAAAACTTACATTGAATAAAATTATCTAAACGGAACAAGTCGTTCAGGCTAGTCTCAACTCCCTACACTGTAGGTTAATGGACTGGCAGAAAACAACTATTCCCCTCGCTAATGCCACAAGGGCGTTGGTTTATATCTGACAGGTGTCAGTGCAGGAATCTTCACTGAAGTATTTCCTGCATATGCTGTTGGCGATACAACTGCCGGAATCAATTTTCAATTGTTGAATTAAGTAAAAGTTTGATAACAAAACTTACATTGAATAAAATTATCTAAACGGAACAAGTCGTTCAGGCCAGTCTCACCTCCCTATACTGTAGGTTAATGGACTGGCAGAAAACAACTATTCCCCTCGCTAATGCCACGAAGGGCGTTGGTTTATATCTGACAGGTATCAGTGCAGGAATCTTCACTGAAGTATTTCTTGCATATGCTGTTGGCGATACAACTGCCGGAATCAATTTTCAATTGTTGAATTAAGAGAGGCCAAATTGCCCAAAACCGGTCTGTAAGTGTGCTCATTCAATAATAATTGAAAATCGATTCCGGCAGTTGTGTCGCCAACAGCATATGCAGGAAATACTTCAGTAGAGATTCCTGCACTGACACCTGTCAGATATAATCAAATGCCCTTCGTGGTATTAGCCAGGGAAGTAATTATTTTCTGATAGGTATCAGTCCATTCACCTATATTGTAGGGAGTTGAGACTGGCCTAAACGAATTGTTCCTTTAGATGATTTGATTTATAGCCAGTCTTCAAGTATACCCACTGACTATATGTGAAAAATTACACTGAATACTTTCAAACGTTATGCTGACAATGAAACAATAATCAACATCTGAAGTGAACTCACCTGGTTTACTGTCAATTTTCTTTTTGGGAAATCTAGGTGCTTGTATTTGAAATCCAGTTTCCTTCTTCGATAGAGTGTATTTGGTCTCCGACAAGGTATAGGTATCTGGTGAAGGCGTTTCATTGCAGTAATTTATTAATCTCTCACTGGAGATGACAAAAGGTTTAGGTTTGATGCCGTCACATCTTCTACAGGGATTCACCTTCGAAATGTCGTAGTCAGCTGGTCCGGGAAAATTCTGAAATTAGGTTACGATGTTATCTAGCTGTCCCTATGGACATGTCGAAACTTGGGGTTTAGGTCCAAAAACAAATCCATTGAATTTATGTGATGATTGTCAGACCAATGATCACTTATAGTGCAGTTGCCTGGTGGACGAATGCTTTGCAGAAAACGGCCCAGGCGAAGCTTTCTGGCTTACAGAGACGGGCTTGTCTGGCCATCAGTGGTGCCATCAGTACCACACCGTCAGCGACCATGGAGAACCTTCTAGATCTACCTCCTTTCCACATTTTTTTGGAGAGAGAGGCTAGATGGCCTGGATATAGACTTGTGCACATTGCCAATTGCACAAATCAATTTAATGCAGAGTGCAACACTGTTGACTTTATGCCTCCAACTGTCAACTACGAACTGCCTTATAAAGTTCTGTTCCCGAGTAGAGAGGACTGGATCCTCCGGGAGGAGGAAATATTAAGAGCGGATAGTTGTTTTCAGTCACAGACCCAGGACAGAGATATCAACCTGCCTAAGAACCTATGCGACTGTATTTCGGGCGGAAATTTACGCTATCGAATTGTGTGCGGAGAGATTGGAAGAATCCAACCTCATACACAAGTCAATAAAAATATTCTCGGACAGTTAAGCGGCGTTGGAAGGTCTTGGCTTCTACCGAGCCACTTCTAAATTGGTAGCAAATTGCCAAAAACGACTCTCCTCGATAGGAAGACTTAACACATTGTCTCTGGTCTGGATTCCTGGCCATACTGGCCTGGAAGGCAATGAGGCTGCTGACTCCCTTGCAAAGGAGGGTGCTGCAAGCAGCTTCATCGGACCAGAACCTGTCATTGGCATCGCTTTTGTCTTTGCCAAACAAAGATTGAACACCTGGATGGCAAGAAGATTTATGGCAGAATCTTCCAGGATTGGCTCACTCCAAGGCGTTTATTCACCCTCCGAAGCTTAATACCAAACAGTTGTTGGACTACAGTAGGGCCTTTTACAGGTCACTGTCATTTGAATCATTATATCCAGAGACTCGAACTGTCGGAAGACAGTGTGTGTCGCCTCTGATTAGAAATTGATGTAACAGCAGAGCACTTAATTTGTGCTCGCCCCGCTGGGGACTGAATCAGGATTTTAGAGTTCGGCAGAGCCGTACTCTTACCATCTGACCCGAAAGATCACCCACCATACAAACCAGTCAGCTTCGATGAGAAGCTGGTTTTATTTGGTCGAGTGCGAATTGGTGTGAGCCGGGTTGCGGTGGAGGATCGAATAAACTCACTCACTTTGGACCTAGCCTAACCTAACCTATCTAGCTGAAATCAGAGCCAACACCGTAATGTATTGGTGAACTCAATTGTTCTGAAAGAACAGGCTTGAGTGAAGGCAATGACATTCACCCTTACGAAGACGCCATCTGTGGAATCCGCAGAGCCCTCAACACACTGGTTTCAACTAGTTGCCATATAATTGAAACAAGAATTTCGTTTGGCAGTCGATATCGAAGCTAAGCTACACAACTGACTGCCTTGGAAAGTCTGGTTATAATCTTTGAAAATCGTGGGTAGAATATTCTGTCAATCCCATAGATGGCGACTTCGAAAGGAAAGATGTCATTACTATTACTTTCAAACAGTGATATTTAATTTTTCAGTCATTCATGTATTCCCTTTGTAAGTCAGGGTATTATCTGCTCATATTCGATAATGATACTGTTCATTAGGAATCAGGGTTAGGAATCACACGTTGAAAGGTAAGATCTCGTTAGTCCTTAGCACGCACAAGTTTCGAGTTTTGAGAGTTGTAATTCGTAGAGGGGCGACTGGTGGTCGCCCCCTACGTGAATTCCGATGTTTAAATGAAAGTGGTTGTTTCAAGAGGGCTTTGTCTTCCAGTTTGTATCTAAAAGTAACTTCTACACATCTTCGTGAAGAGTTTATTTTTTTCTATTGAAAGTTTTCAACATTTTTTGTTTGAAGATGGAGAAGTAGAAATCCTGAACCTTCCTTTCCCAAAAACTAATATCTGCTAAAAATTTACTTTATTTATTTAAGTGAAAAATTTGATAAGACATTGTATATAGTCCCTCTCCAGTTGAATAAATAGACTGTTTTACCAAATTTCTTTCAGCTATGTTGGTCGGTATTGATGTTGAAGGTTGAAATAGACTATTTTTGTGTATTTTTCAGCAAGTGAAAATAAAGTAAAAATATTTGAAAGTTTTCTGAGTTCTTATTTTCGTAATCGAGTTTTGACACCGTCTGACTCAAAATAAGTGTGACGACTGTTTCAAAAGAGATACATACCTTTCGAGAACACACAAATTTTGAAATGAAATTCGAAATATACACCTCTTCTTACGTTTCTACACAGTAGAATCACGGACATTGAATTGTATCCTGCAATGACAAGGAAAAATACTCCGAAACCGGTTTGCAGGAGATCACTCGATTGATTTCGAAGATGTGTCTGTAAGAATTTCCTCTGTGACGTAACTTGCACAAATGTTCATCAGATACAAACTCAATGTTTATCGTGGCATCGGCCAAAAAATTAATTGTTCTCCTACAGGCATTTCCCGGGTCCTATTTTGTAGGAACGTTGAAAGGGGTGGATATTTTGAATTTTATTTGGAAATATTCATTTATTTACATAACAGTTTTATGACCTTTCTGCGTTCCATATTTTGGTACCATATTGGTACTATTTATTGAATATTTTCCATATTCTCGTGGACATAATTAATTGAAACTATCTCTGGCACTTTGTAGCATTGCCTGGAACGGAGATCTTCGCCCTATTTCATTCAGGTGTCCTGTAAATGGACCATATCCAGTGAATAGCTCTGTAATTACTATGAGCCGATTTCTGCTGTGTGCAGTTTTTCACTTCTATTTTTAGGCGGAGCCTTTATGAAGTTTTACCATGTACATTTTTAGGTATATTTTCCAAGTCTCCACGTCTTCATTTTGGTTTATTGACCCATTTCCTGAACTGGTTCTGTACCACAGTGTTTGGTACCCCCAACTGGGCCACCACAATGAGCTGATGATTCGTATCTAGAACATTTAGCTTTTTCTTTGCCTATGATTCCCCAATTTCCAGACACCTAGAATTCCGCTTGATTTACTCAAAAACGCAGATTAGTTATCACAAATCCTTATTTTTTTTCTGAATATATCTGGTTACATTTCATTTCGTCTTGGTTGGTGGTCGATGGAAGTTATAATCATGACGTGGTTTTTGTGGTACAAGAAGTTATTAAAAAGTCTTACACGAACATGATACTGGTGACCATAATAATGGAAGTAATGACATCAAAAAAGGTAAATCTGTTTAAAAAATCTGTTCAAAATCTGTTTTTCCGTTAACCAGCTGTCGCACCCCTACGAATGACAACCCTCAGAAGTCGAAACTTGTGTGAGCTGAGGATTAACGAGGTCTTATCTTTTAAGGTGTAATTCCTAACACGGGTTGAACGATAGCAAGTGGAAATCGATCGTTCAGCCTGGGGCTTGAACCAGTGACCAACACTGCGGTTGATTTGAGTGAGTGAACAAAGCACCCACGTCGAACCGCCTGGCTACCGACCGAAATATAGAATATATTTTTGAACTGAGCTTAGTATTATCAATTTCTCCAACTGCTTTGAGATGGTAATAATATTGGGCCGGAAGTGGGATAATATTGAAGTTTATTTTCATTAGATGTTTGAAACTTCAATAAAACCAAACCCTCGAAGGAAAAAAAATCACATTTCGACAATTATCACCGAAACGCAACCATAGCTTCGCTGCTTTTCTCTGGAGCCTACTCAATCCGCGAAGTTTGCTAATGGCAAAATAAACGTCGAAAGACGTCTCCGCGAGTTATAATATATTCCCTCTGTTGACTTTCCGTAATTCATTCGAAACTCTGTCCACATTATTAATTCCACCGTGTCGCGCGTGATACAGGATTATATTTTCGTTCACTTGTAACTATAGAAGAATTTGAGAGATTTATGGTATATATTCCGGTAGTTCGGTCGACGAAGTGATAATTGCCAAAGGAAATCAAAAGGTGTCGGAGTTGGAATTGCCATTAATTTATTGTGAGAAAATTCAACAACGTCTTCAAAGAGGAGGAAATTTCTTCCTATTAGAGGTTTCTTTTATTGTTTTCAGGCATGATCCAACCATAATATCATAGATGAAGCTCTAAATTATTTTATATTTGTTACAAACCATTGTTATATGTAGTCTCAAGAAGATTGAAGTTATCATATTATAAATAGCTTTTCGAATAATCGAAGAATTTAGTTGCTAATGGGAGTAGTTGGGGTGTCTGCTCACCTACGAAAAGCTTATTACGTTCGTGCCGTCCGTGTTTGAACTAATTATAAAAAATAGTGAATGTGTCTAAACAAAATTCCTTGTAGTTTGGCTAGTTCAAAAAGTGAATAGTTTTTCACCCACTCATAATGATTTTGCAGTAAATAATTTCAAACAATGCTGAACTGAATTAGAAATTAAAATTCCACAGATTTCTGTCGGATATAATTCCATCCGTGTCCATCGTAGTAGCAGCCACGAAAATAGTAGACATTTTTTCATATCCCACTGTGTGAGTATGACTCTGAGTACAATCAGTGTTAAACCTTGAGCGCCATCTGATCGTTGAAAGCCCTGTCACGGTAATGCGGGTCAGTGCCTTAATAAACCTTCTTTTCTTTGCTCCTCGTAAGACACTTGATGAACCCTATTAGTAACCAAAAAACTCATTCCTAAGTCTACACAGAAAACAAACGACGACTAAATAATCCCAATTGCCCTACCTATAACATCGGATCAAAAACAAGAGATTCTCAGTTCCCCAACACTGAATCCTTTTAACAAATCTGTGAGTTTAAGCGATGCAACTAAAAAGCGCTCCATCACCTCTCGAAGAGCAGGATATCTGATGAATCTCCGTTGCATCAAATTCATGAGCAATAGAAGAAGAATCTACATCAAAATAACTGAAACACTTTCTCTGAACAGGTCAGCAAACGGTCATGATTAAACAATGATTCACTCAAGCCACCAGAGGTGGAAAAACCCTAACTGGCTGAATCTTATGTATCCATAGGAGGGGGTCTCCCTGAAATGCGTAGCATGAGATCTACTTCGCAAGCTACACATTTGTATTTGCTTACCTACCTGATGAAGGTAGGCGCAAACTGACCGAAGGTCAGATCCTCACTAGTCTGTAAAAATTTATCATGGTCTGTCAACTTTGGGGTGAATGATTCTTCACAAAGAAATTCAGGGTCCATCTCGCTGGAACCAGATCAGGTTTTCTGCATTTCGAAAAGACTAACTCTTGCCAGCTGGCTTGAAAGATCACTCTTGAAATAAAGTAATCAGTTTCAATTGGTAGAGTTGAATACATGTGAGCCACAAGGAATGATTTTTCACCGCATGAAGTTACTTATGTACAGTGGAGCATCGATTGAATTAGTCGAATATCAGACAGCACTGATATCTTGGTGAAATCTGTCCTGGACACAGTTGACAATACACATAACCATCCAAAACCGCTCCACCATACCCGCAAGTTCAAACCATCCACCATCACNTTTATTAAATTTAGATTGCCTGATATCTTGTCAAATTCTGCAGGTCTGGATAATGAGTTATTTCACGTCTTTCCTGAATTTGAAAGCATTTTGTATTTCTCATGAAGTAGAGTAAGATAATTACTTTTTTTGCAAATATAAATTTGAATTATTGTAAATAGTATAAAATTCTGAAACAAACTATGAAATGTAGAGAGACAAAACGATTCTATAAGTATTCTGAATATATTTAAACTTTTTGGAGAAACACAATATTTCGAAATCTCCAATCGACTAGACCTGAATACAAAAATAGTTTCAAATTAGTAAAAATCATTTGAGAAAGTCAATATCCTTGTTTTGTTCAGAAAACCAATTAGGTGATGTTCGACCACAAGTTTAGAATTGAATAAATCAATTTCTTGTATCGCCTTTATTATTTTTTAATTACTCAAGTTATTTGACAAAAATACTTATTTCGTTTTTTCGAACCGCACATAAAGAAACAAACCACTTCCTCTGTAATATATTTTCAATCCAGTAGGTTGTTTTTAAAAAAATACAGTATTATACACACTCACCTCCCTTTTCAATTTCATTTCCTGGGCATCCAGGAATCTCGGCACGAAAGTCAACAGTCTCGCCATCTCTCGGAATTCGTCATTTTTGACGTCTCGTGTGCACGCAGGAATCTTCACATTGTAACTGCCCGGGCCAGGAGAGTCATCTGCAGCGTAAATGAATCGCTTTCCCGATCTCTTGGACCACTTGTTACCCCTGTATGGATCATCAGCAGGTTCCTGCAAATAAGGCAATGGTCTAGAGATGCACATACCTGCTTTGAGGTGTCTTTTTACCAAGATATGACAAAGGTGATTGAAACAGAGTTACAAGATTTTATTATATAGCAGACTTTGGGACCTAACATGCCGTATCACTAAATAGTATAAAATAGTCGCTTCCCGCTGTCTGTCGCTATGTATACGTAGATCTTTAAAACTACGTAAGGGATTTTGATGCCAGTTTTTTCAATAGATAGAGTGATTCAGGAGGAAGGTTAATCTGTTTGTAACATGCATGATATAGTAGAGAAACACTAATGATTTTAGAGGTTTCTGCGCTTGCATAGGCCTTTTCATCACAATTTTTTTGTGCGCATGCGTCAGTATCAGCCATCTTTTTCGTACTGTTTTTTGTAAACAACCATGTTAAAGAGCCCGCAACTCATGTTTTAAAAATTAAAATATAAATTGAAGTTTATTAATTGTAGAGTATATTTCCCTCTAATAAAAATTACTAAACATATTCAATTCAGTATTTACATATTTGTCTAGTTAATAATGTCATATGTACAGCCTCAAAATATTAATGGATTGATTTATTTATTAGTTCCATGAGTAATACTGTTGTCAACTAAAATATATTTTCAATTACATCAAATAAATTGACATTATTAATAAGAATAAAACTGTAAATACTATTTTTTTATATGTTTTTAGATAGTAAATAAATGCTGATACCTATCCTCTCAATCAGCTTACTTTTTTTCCTTTTTACGGACGCCCATGACGTTTTAACCACCTTTTTAATTGTTCACAATTATGAGTCTCAACTGAATTATAAACAACTGAAGTAACATCAATGGTTTTTTCCAATAATTTATTTGTTTGTAGAGATAACATTCCTTGCCCAGCCATTGTTGATTTAAACAGCACGAATGTTTTGAATTGCCGCCATTTCAATATGACGGTTACGCTTGCGCTCGTCTTATGATGAAAAGGCCTACTGCAAACACTAGCTGTACTACAGTATTGTACACCTTGAAAAGGTCTACCAAAAAATATGGGATGGTGTATGTCTATCTCGTAGAGATAACGCACAATAACCATTTTTTATCCACCAAGCGATTTTAAGCTTATCCAATTGAGTACCTCAAATACATTGTGCATTTAATATAGATAAATATGGTCCATGTAATTTGAATGAATATTTTCGAAGATATTACTGATTGAAAATACAGGGACATAGCGGTTGCGGCGGTACCGACCGGGGATCCGGCGGCGCGTGCCTATAAATCGCGTATCAAAAGCCACTCTTTATGATTAGCAGCGATCGCACACGTTTATTTGTATATTCAGTATCAACATCGCACTCGTGCTCAGCTGGGGCGGCTCGCTAGTATACACTAAAATTACTACCAAGCAAGAGAGCCGTATTATTGTACAAAAATATGTTTCTAAGAAACATTTTGTGATAAAATTGTATAAATTGCTAAGGGAATCTTTGATGATAAATTGATACCAAAGTTGATAACGTTCTGATATTTCAATAAAAGCAAGTCATTAGGTCTTAGACCCTGTTTTGCGACATATACACTTTTCTTAGTTGAGCAGTGAAAGAATCACCCTCATGTACATTATGCCATTTTTTATAGTTGTCGAGTTATAAATTTTTCAATGCTTCGGCTTTAATTCGACTTCATTTTTTCTAGACGAATTTACTATTATGATAGAGTGAAAAAGACACTGTACAATTTCAGCTTTGACATAGTTAATCAAGGAACTGTCACATTGACGTTTAAGATTTGTATTGAGTTAGAGAATAAAAATTTTATTTGAATTGGAGGGGTTATATTTTAAGGAGTGATTAATTTTTGGGAAAGAAAGTTTTTGGCTTTCTAATACTACATCTGATACAAAAAAAAGGTATGAGAGAATCTTCCAAAGAAAGGAAGGAAGTAATCAATTTGAAAATAAGTAACTCTATACATGGATGTGTAGATCATGCAAAGAAGTAACTTTTGAGAGATTCAAATTTTCTTTGATATTTTTCATAACATAATCCTTATGAATTGTTTTTATGCGTCAAATATTCATCAGTTTAGAATCACAGTAAGGTGAGAAAATGTTTACAATACTGAAAAAATCACTTTCGAACAAGGCTATATTGAATTTTCAACTTTGATTTGGACATTGCTGAAAATGTTTTACAGTTTCTTAGTAATTTTCAAAACCTTTCGAAATCCTAAGCTTTGAAAATAATGATAACAAGTGGTCTAAATGGCTGATAATTGCTAGAACAAGCCTTCTAATGTACGTACGTACGTATTTTTGAAATAATATCAATGTCTATGTCATTTTAAAGGCTAATAAAAATATTACGACAAATAATGAGAACAAACAGTGAATGCAAAATTTTTTCGAACTTCAGTTTCAGTTTAATACTAGAACAATTTATGAAAATTAAACGAGAAATTCATTTCATAACATTTTTCTCGGTTTCCCTCAATTTTTATCGTATCCACCGTTCTACAGACAGCGAATGTTTTCGAAGGTTTAACCTATTCAACTGGAAAGTAAAACTGGAACCCTTGACATATACTGAATTTAAAATGATTACAACTTCCACCAGAGCTGCAACACCTTTTTCGAAGCACTTTTCGCCAACCAAATGGACGTTATTTGGGTACGAACTAGACTCATCTCAGAAATTGGACTAGACTATTTCTAGTTTATTTCGTGATCATTTCTACTCGATAGGTAGAATGCGCATTAGATTCAAGCAGCCAAATGTTTTTCTAGAATGTCATAGAGAAATCATAATGAGTACTGATATTTTAAATTCAAATAACTATTTTTAGTTTAGTTATCGTCATTTTTGAATAACCTGTACTGAATGTCCAAAGTCCCACCAAGTCAAAAGACAAGTCTGAATAGCAAAGGTAGTATTAAAATGATTTTTTATTCATGAATCGACATGTAGATCATATCCTACCTAATATTAAACAAAGTAGAACAGCTTTTTCTCAATCAAAACAAAGTAGACGTTGTGGATGATAAAAAATGAATTCAACATTCGTCTATCTTTTATATCTATCAACTAGGCAACATGATGAATTGGTTAAGGTTTCGTAATCATGTTCATTTTTAATGATTCGCACGCTTTTTGACAATCGATCTTTTGATGCTAGAGTCACTAAACCGTGGTCCACAAGTTTGAAAAATATACCCTGCCACAAATTTGGCATATGTTTCAGTTCTAGTTCCAGTTCCACTTGTTTGTCGAGTTTTGCGTGTCTCTCGGTGTATTTATACAATCTTTGACATGCATTGTAGGATTGAAAACAGTTTTTACTGGAGCTCCTATTCTGTCAATGAAGCCATCCAATGAAAAATTCTTAGAAATCTGTCATATATACGTTTCGTGTTTTTTTTTCTGATTTACCTCCGAATATTATTTTTCCAAAACCGCCCTATTCTTGTTTGCGTATCACTTCTGGAACTCTTTTCTTATTACTCTGATACGTGTTTTTTTTTTATTTCCTCATACAAAAATATTGTTTCAGAAACTTAACCATATGTCTATAATCCTACCTACTAAGGGAGATCAATTACTCTCAGACATCATTAATTCCATAGACTGGACTTCTTGACTAAATTATACTTTACGAGTAGATCTCCTAAAACTGCAACTTACTGTATTCAGTGTATTCTGAATGATTGATAGATCAAATTACCAACCTAAAGTACTTGATTTACTCATGATTATTATAACTGAGAGTCATTGTTCAGCAATACGGTTTAACTGATCCATTTCGTCTAATGTGAGCCTTCACGGCAGATGATAAATGTGTCAAAGCTATTTTCCGGGTTTATTGTCTGTGGTGTGTAGACGTTTCGTCAATAACTGCGGTAAATCTTGTCAAAGGCAGCGAAACAGCAGAATACTACTCAAAAGTATACGCTAAGAGAACAACTAGGGCACTGCGTCCGTTGCCTTTTCACTTTGAATGCGCCTACCAAGTTCTGTATCTGTAGAGTAGGGAGGATGAGTGTTGGTTCATAGCACTTAGGCCACATGTGACCCATTGTATATCCTCCCGAGGAGTTGTCCTCCAAGGTCATCGTCCATCGTGTCCTTTCCAGGAAGGTGGACAGGTCACTGGGAGATATCTTCTTTATATCGGCAGGTGTAGGCCAAGACTCGCCGAACACACACTCTCTTATTGACAATAACTCCGGACACTCGCATATGACATTCCTGTTCACACATCGAGCATAGAGGTGTGTCCACTAGCCCCATATTATGGAGGTGTTTCCTTAGTTACAGTGGCCAGTCAGAAATCCTACTGTTAGGCGTAGATTTTTCCTGGTCATCGCCAGATATTTCTCCGACGCCAGCTTCCCAGTGTCGCCAAGGATGATCTTGACAAGATGGCATCCTTTGATTCCATCCCATCTCTTTAGGGATTGGGTGTGACGTTTGGCTACTTCCGCAATTGTCGAAGTCATCAGGCCATAGATGTCACTGGGTCCTAAAATTCTTAGTCCAGCCGTTTTCTTGGCTAAAGAGTCGGCAATGCGATTATCTTTACTCCTGTCGTGCCCGCCTACCGCAGTTATGTTAGTCATAAAAATCTGCAGATAAACTCAGAAGAGTATGCAAGAGAATTGAAGAATTAGTATTCAAATTTTCAACTTCTTACCTCAACGTTATAAAAAGCTGGTCCAAGACTAGTATCATGACAGTCAGGCGGTAAAGGAATTGTGTCACCACTTTCGTTCACGAAATATCCGTTAGCGTTAATTTTGGTAGGTACGGATGGTCCTGTACCTTTCAGGGTATAAGGCATCCTGCACACATACAATCTTCCTCTACCAATCGGTCTGGAAATATCACTGGAACACTTCGGTCGCTTCGGGTCATATTCTCCAGGTCCGGGATTATCGTTAATCGTACTGACGAATCTTTCAGCAGTGTTTCTCGGTGAAGTGCCCAACTGAAAATTGATTGTGGAATTAAAAAAGATTCAAGGAAATTAATTTTTTGATCATGTAGTGTGGGGAATGATTTATACAGACTATATTCAATCACACAACATAGAAGGCGACGTCTTGAATTAATTATAAAGTCATAAAAAATCCTTATTGGAAAAATAAAGAATGCAAAGTGATAACACAATTATTGGTATAAGTTCATTGGAATTACCAAATCAATTAAATTTCAATTCAAAAAAATCTGTTTGAAATTTGTTTTTCCGTTAACCAGCTGTCACACCCCTACGAACGACAACCCTCAGAGGTCGAGACCTGTGCGAGCTAAGGACTAACGAAGTCTTACCTTTCAACGTGTGATTTCTAACACGGGTTGGACGATAGTAAGGGAAAATCGATCGTTCAGCCTGGGGCTTGGACCACCGACCAACACGGCGGTCCATTTGGGTGAGTGAACAAAGCACCCACGTCGAACCGACCGGCTACCGACCGACCTTAGTAATAAAGAAAATATATTGAAACGCAGTAATTTTCTGAATGGTGATAGAAAAAGAGATAATCTAGAAGATCAAATATGCCGTTGATGGAAAAAAATGATGTAAAGTCATTATTAGGCCTCCAAAATCTTTGAATAGGATTTAGTACATAATTACACCTTTGCTCTTATTGAGGGCTCGATATTTTACAATGTAGCTAAAATATAGGCTTCATCTACCAGTAGACCATAAAAATGTCCTTGCTAAATATTTTGATTTATAAAGTCTTCAGTAATATTTCAATAAACTTTATTTCTATATTTTACAGAATTTTTAGGTGCATGGTATATTTTTCGAACGATAAATTATCGAATTGCTTTGATACTTTACTTTCGTATTGACGTATACATACTGAACTTTGGACAGTACCCATCAAGCTTTGTGACAATTAAGTAAATTCGTCACTTTACAGTACAGCTCTGGATTATTTGTCAACTGACTCAAAATAAAATGTACATGACTTCTTAATATTTACATGATTTTTTTTCAATGAAACTAGAAAGAAGGGATATCTCCTAATATTAGATGTCCACATCTATTCGGTTTGGTAATACTCTAAGTTTGCTTGTGATGAAACTGTAAAATACAATGATTACCTGAGAAACCTAAACCGATCTTTTCGGAGATTTACGAAAAATTGAGTGACAGCGGAAAAGCGCAACAGTCCTGGCTGAGATACTTGAACATGAACAAGATTGTAGACAATTTCGTTGGCCAATTATAATTTAGTATGAAGTGCACACACTGTGGATACTCATCAGTAACTTTCGATCCTTTCTGGGATTTGTCTCTCCCTATACCACAAAGAACTGGCCAATTGAGTTTGTCACAATGCTTAGATTTCTTCACAAAGGAGGAAACCCTGGATGGAGATAAAAAACCAACCTGTTCGAGGTGCAAGGAAAGAAGAAAATTCACAAAGTCCCAATCAATCCATAAGTTTCCCCGTATTTTAGTAATCCATTTAGGAAGATTCTCTCCAACGGAAAGATTCAGAGGCAAATTGAATGTTACCATTGACTTTTCTTCAGAAGGATTAGATATGAGTAATTATGCAGCAGACAATGTGGCTCATTGTCGTTATGATATATATGCACTTTCGAATCACAGTGGGACTACTTTCAACGAGCATTACATAGCATATTGCAGACACCCTTATAGTGGTACGTGGAATGAATACAACGATTCACACGTGTTCGCGAGTTCACCAAAATCGCTTGTGAATAAAAAAGCATATGTCCTCGTTCATGAACAGGAGAGAACAAAGCTGAACTTTTGAGGTGTTTTTTTTCTTTTTCTCTTTTAATGAGCTAAATTCTGTTAATTGATTTGTATTTTATGATTCTTCTGATGATAAACGAATTGTTCCTGTGCTCAAAAAAAATTACTGACAATAATTTTTTCAAATGGCAAAAAATAAACATATGATAGATATTTTGAAACCAGAGCCCAAAAACGAAGCATTGTAATCCATCACCATACAACTCTGTTTGGACCTTCTATAGGTCTCATCAGTAGTGCTAGGCTGAACCACAAATGCATTTCTAAAGGAGAGGTCTGAAAAAATGAAAGCTATGACATGTCCCTTCATGAAGATGCCGTTTATGAGGTCGCCAGGCTTGTGTTTCACAGACAGTATCGCATCGTGGTTAACAGCAGACCGCCTTGGAGCCTAGTTTACCTCAGTAATCGTGAACTGAATTTTCTGTGGATTCCACTGGCGTCCTCGTAATGGAAGTTGTCATCGCCTTCAATAGCTTTCTGTTCAGATAGCGCACATAATAAATTATTATTAATTCACAACTCACCAATTTATTAGAAACATCTGGTAGGCTGTAGAAATTATCACAAAACGATTTCCGGAAAAAAGAAGGAGCTCTTTTTTCTGTGCTGAGGAATGGCGTAATATTTTCTGCAAAAATTCACCATCAGTGCTCTGTATCTTGAAATGCCATTAATTATACATACTCAGAGTTTGTCGTCCATCGCATATTATGTACGTAGTTGGTCCCAAAAGAGGTGGCGTTTGAGATTTGAGTGGGATGCCCATACGTGGTGAATTATTATACATTTTTTGGTGATTCGTCTAGCTGAAAGTATAAAAAAATGTCAGAGTCAATATTGAGAAGTCACAGTTGACATTTAAAACGAACGTTTTCAAATACATTTTGAAGTTTCTAAAAGCAATGTTAATTCAGACAAATTCAAAAGTGAGTTTTTTTCCGTTCAATAGAATGTATGAAATATCTCACCCGAACAGTGGTATGATGAATTTATGAGTAGATCATTTGAAAATAGTTTATGGCTTATGTCAACAATCTACACCTGGTTGGATCACATATATTTTTGTTACTACATGGAAATGTACCTTTACTTGTACAATGATAGTATAATTTCAATTTACTAACGAAAAATCACATTGAATAAACTTGAACAGCTTTCTCAAAATTGTTTCACGATATAGTAAGTAGTCGAATTATCATTTGGATAAAATGCTTTTTGGCTTTTACTTCTCCATCTTTATATGGTTAAAAAGTGCAAAGTTTGCTCCTTTACACGTAATGCCAATATTATTGAGTATTTTTATACTCTCGAGGATAAAATACTCTAGGGGTGACGTTCGACAGCAGGTGACATTTGTTGGCCACACCAATACTGTCGCGGCATCGGTTAGAAAAATGATTGGCTTTATTCTACGCAACTGTGAATCATTCATTCATTCATTACCGCCTTAACGATACATTATACATCTATCGTTCGCTCCACACTACTTCAAAGATTCGATCTTTCTGGTCTGGAGCAACGTAGAATGTCATCAAGTATTGTTATGTTATACAAAATTTTGCATTGTTCCATTGATGCACCCTCGTTACTAGAACAGAAATTAACTTCAACGTACCTCAAGCTTCTTTCTACACGTAGACAGATCACTTTTTATACCCCTTTTACTAGATCCAACCTTGGAAAAGTGTCTCCTATAAATTTGATCTGTGACAATTATAGTCAATGCGATATTAATTTCGTTCCACTGAAGACCATATTATCCAAAATTAAACAAACCATCATCTAGTTTACTGTCTTCAATTCATGTTATTTACAAATAATAATTAATTGATATGTCTTTTTTTCTTAATTCGATCATATATGTGAATTTATTTCTTAATTTGTCAAATCCTTAATATGTCAAACTTTTGTTATACAGGGCTATTCAAATTCGTGTCTATACATGGGGATCTCGTAAAAGATAAGAGATAAAGTGTCGGTTAAATTGTGGCAAAGTTGCGTATTTTAGAGACCTATTCAATGATGTGGAAGAATCGAATCTAGCTCTTCTGGTTCTGGAGATATACAGGAAAAACCAAAAAATCTCAAATTATTTTTTTACCTATATCTTCTTTATTCGCAGACATATTGAAACTCTGTTCACATTTTGCTATTGGCACTTGATGTGAGCTATCCCAATATGTTCATGAATCTTTTATATAGGGTGTCATCTGACTTGGGCCACCCTCATCTTTGAATTTTTAAATACGGACCCGTATTTTTTGTTGTAGTTTTTGGATCGTAGACGTTCACTTCATACTGAGAAATAAAATTAAAGGAACGAATTTGAATAGCCCTGTATATTTAGTTTAAGTAGCCTTTATTTATACTGCATTATTATATTATATATTGTCCTGTGAATGGATTCATCTGTTTTGTTCATCTTTATACGAATAATAGTGGGAAACTTTCAGATGAAGGAAGAAAGCAATTAAGTTCATAATAATATATTCACAAAGATGTGTAGTTCATGCAAAAAAGTTACTCCCAGATATAAACTAGAAAAAAATCCTCTTCGCAAAACTACTTCGAAACAACTACTTCTATATGAATATTCAATTGAATGAAAAAAACTTTTCAGACGAAAGAACTTTTTTCTTTCGTTTAATTCAATATTCATATGAGAGTAGTTGTTTCAACTCATTCCGCAAATGACATGCAAATGACATTTTATTTCAATACTCTTTCGTATATCACATTGTGAATTATTCCTATTGATGATTTCAGTTTCAATTTTATAATGATTGTAGTACAAAAAGTTATTTTCATGTAATTCAATGTAAACATGGAAGTAGTTGATTGGAAAGGTTCTGTGTATGATTTACATATCGTGGGGGTACAAGCAGAATCATGTAAGTCCATAAAAGTGAATAACGAGAAAATCGCAATTGAATGTTCCAATCCACCTGTAAAATTTGTTTTCATGAATAAATGATTTTGATCACCAAAGGAGAGTTTGTATGCTATTTCTTAAGGCACATAATTCAATCAAACAAACATTTACAAAAAAAAGAATTTTTTATTTCAGTTTTTTCACAAAAAGTCTGTACTTAAGGTTTTCTTCCTCTTCCATATGTTAACTTTTTTGGACTAAGTGAACTAGTGGCAGTTCATCATCAGAGTCACTTATGTCGTCTACTTCGCTATCATCTACACATGGCTCAGCAGATTGATCTAGCGCATTTGTCGAGGTAGGTAATGATTTGTACCATCCATGGAATTCGATGGGAATTGATTCACTTCTGCATAATTTGAGAAGATCTTGTTTTTTTTACACTTATTGGTAATGGTTTATTGTAGAGTTTCTTCAGCTGCCTAGGAAATGTGGGTCTCTTTCCTCTTCCAAAAACATTGATACATTTGAACGGTCCATCGTGTATGTATTTGTATTCGATAACGCCTGGATTTCCTTTCGAATACTTTGAGCTCTTGATAAGTAACCAGTTTACAGTGTGTCCTTCCGAGTCTTTCGATTTGTTTCTAATCAAAATTTTTGACAATGCTTTCAAATCGTAAAAGTCTGTGAACTTTAATTCTTGTACGTTGTAGGGCTCATTTTTTTTTTGTTTTTATTCCGTTTTGATCTTGCCAGTCTAAATATATTGAGCCAATCATTGATTGTATAAACTGGTACAAATTTTTAGCATGTTCAATAGCACTATGCATGGAATCCGCTTCCATATAGGAATGTCCACTTTCCAAAAAGTTGTGCTAAATAGTTTCAAGCTGTGAAAACTGTACCACATAGATAAGCATAGCGGCAACATGCCGATTTCGATTTTGTCCTTCACATGTGTCAGATCATAGTGACACTTCCTTTACATGTGAAGGCAAATTTTTTGTCAGGTGTAAATATAAACAGGAACCTATTTCGGAACTGCCTCTTTTTCCATTCAATTCCGACCAGCAATAACAATAGGCATCATTTGGTGGGGCTGAATTGTAAATTGTGAGGTTGTACACGCAAATTTTCCTTGAGTAGTACATGGGGCTAACATCCGAGCAGGGAATTTGAAGTACTGCCTGCAAATCGAAAGTTGATGAAACAAAACTTTCATTATTAGTAGCTCGTACTTTGTCCTTATCTTTAGCTATGTAGCAATCTTTTTTCCGCCTTATATGACTTCCATAATTCTCATTATTGTCTGCCTCATTTTCAACTGTTTTATGCCTCTCACAAATTTGACATAAATCTTTTTTAGGTTTGAAAAATGATAAGTTATAGTGCTCTCCAAAAATTCTCTTATACGTTATAAATGTCACGAATTGTTTTTCTTCCGCTTCACATTTTTCTTTGTAGAGACTGTACATCTTTGAAATAGATAATTTACTGTCCAGGTAATCTTTCTTCGTAGTTTTACGAGAAAAGTGTGATCTCACTGTTGGAAAGCTCTCTATGTGTTCCTTAACAGCAGCAACAAGCTCAGGAACGGTTTTATTTCCTGGCACAGATTTTCCACGTTTTTCTTCTCCGATATAGGTACCAGCTGGTCCCTTGTTTTGAAAGGCGTTTCTAACTACATCACCACTTATACTGAGCGTTTAAAAGCTTGACATATTCTCATTTTGTTTTTATCTTTTTCGTAGTAGTACTGTTTGGAATTACTTCTGGGGCCTCTATTTCCATTTCTTTGTCTCCTCCTCTCTGGAGACATGCTTGTAATATTGGAAAGTAGGAAATCTTTTTGTCTTTTGAAATTGTCCATTTTCCAATATTGTGAACAAATAGCTTCCCTTTCAGCATCTGAGAATTTAGTCTGACATTTGAAACGACATTTTTCACAATTGACCGCTCGGGGTTTTTTAGGTGGTCTTTGCCGCTTATTAATTTCATAATTCAAACCATCACTTCTTCTATTTTTTGCGATATTGCGTTTCCAATCACTAGGATGACTTCTTTTCCATCTTGTTAACTGTTTTTCTTTTTCATTTTCCGTTTCCTCCTCTAAAACAAAAATGGTGTAGAGAGTAGTTTTCTATTATAAACTTATTTTTTACCTTTTTCTGACTCTGATGTATTATTTACACTATAATCAGGATCTTTTACTGAGTCATCACTGTCTTCATTTAGCAATAGGTGATACAATTCACTTCTTTCTTCTCTCGATAAGGTTTTTCCACATATTTGAGCAGCATCATTTCCAACTAGAATAAAAATCTGTTGTTTGCAATTGAGCTCGAATGAGTGTGGGTAGTGAAAGCAAAGGCACGAGCATCAGGCTCAATTTATAAACCAAAAAATGCGTTCTGAAGGTCTATTACCGTTGTTTGTAGCATCAAGTGTATCAGTGTCCGAATCTGGGGATGAATAATTGCTGTCTTTATTCAAAATTTGCTGAGAAACAATTTTCGTGGATGTACTTGGCAATTTTGAGTCATCAATAAAACTTTCATCAGCACAGTTATCACCTGAAAACAAGCAGAAAATTGATCAATAGTTTTCACTCTCTTAGTTTAAGAAACAATTAAGTCTCAGGTGCAGGTACCACCACTAACAAGAAGAACCACATAAGTCCAACCAAATACCCAATATCAATTTGAGATCAGAGAATGATTTAATTATTGTGTTTACTAGCATGCTATTATTTTCTATGCATATAAATTCATTAGAAAACCGTGATCTTAATTAACTACTGCTCACCTGCACATGATGTTTCACACCTATTTTCACTGATGTTTCCACATATCAAATTTTCATGATTGTTCATAGATGTTTTAAAAGTGACACTATTTTTATCGATAACATGGCTCACTTGTTCATTGCATGCTAAAAAACAATATTTTTGCCTCTGGAAGACATTTATGCAATATGGATAAACTCTTAGGATCCTACACCACGAAACAATAAACACCAAATGACAGACTTACAGGTTTTTTCCTGTTCAGACTTGTCGCTTATTGGTCAGTAGAAACTGAAAATCGTTTAAGTGCACTTGACCGATTCTGCATGTTGAAATTATGACGAAGTTAGACTTAAGTGAATTTCAATCGGTGTATGTCCAGTAACAAACGTAAAATGGACTTGAATGTTTCTTTTCCTGGAGCGTTACCCTAATGTAGACTTATACGTGATACATTCTTAGTTTTCGAAAAAAGTGTACTTAGAGGGTTCTGCTTGTACGCCCACGATATAAAGATAACATATAGACATATAAAGACATATAGACATATAAAGATAGACATATAAAACTTTATAAAGAGTTTTTATTGAAACTGTTTTATTTTTTCTCTCTTCTTCGTGAGTTTCCCACATTTTCTATTTAATGGCGGATAATTGAAAAGGCAAAAATATTTTTTCCCGAAAAACTAAAATCTTGCGAAAATATTCTCTTCTCAATTTAAAAGTAACGAAATCGTTTCTCATCGTTTTCGCAGGTCACTGCGAAGGCTACGTTACGCGTTCGCACCAGGAAACGCATTTCACGCTAATAAATAGTCAAATTATTCAATGAACAAATAAACAGATACGGACGATCATCTCTTACAGTGTCAGTGTGTCACACGGTTCAAGTAAAAATGGAGTATGTCCTACATTTAATTTTTCTATTATTTTGTGCAGAAGCAGCTGCCCAAATTTGTGAAATTAGCGCCTGTGAAGCGCTGGCACGTAGCCAGATGAATCTGAAAGAGTTTTCTGATAGCTTGGAGGAAAACAGCACCAACAATTATTTGGTTAGACTGGAGAGGAGGTTAAGGTCCTTGGAACAACCAGGTAAATATATAAGATTATTAATAATTTGTCAAATGCGCCCAGTGGAAGCAACGGTCATGAACACTCAGAGAGAGGGAGAGGTAAATAATAATAATCGACCCAATTCAAGGGGAATTTCGAGTTTCGTCTCTTTCAAAAGAGACAGATGAAGTCTTTCACGAAGAAATATTTTCCACTTACGATTTTGATCCACTTGTTGAAGATGCCATAAAAAATCGAACGCAATAATTACTGAAACTTTCATTCTATTCATGGACGATGTATGAAAATTGTATGTATTGAAAAAGCAATTTACATTTCCGTGCACCCTGAGCACATTAAGATATAGATGAACATAAACAAAATGTGTGTAGTTGGGATGTAACAGGGAGCAGCAGACAGGGAGCAGAATCAACACTGTCTTCATATTTTTCTTAAAAATTCGAAGGTTCGGTGTTTGGTAAATATATATTCGACTATAAAAGATGATGAACACAGCATCGAGACATATCTGGAAACCATCATTCAATATGTAGAAGCATACTACAAAAAGAAAAAGGATATGATCATATGTGGAATTGGCCGCGGAGGTAGTGCGGCCAACTCACGATCGGAAGGCCGTGGGTTCGATTCCCACCTCGACCAGATATTTTTCTCGAGAGAACTCATCTGGTTGAAGCTGGGATGATTTTGCAACCGTGTTAGGAATCACACGTTAGAAGGTAAGACCTCGTTAGTCCTTAGCTCCCACAAGTTTCTCAACTTCTGAGAGTTGTCGTTCGTATAAGGGCGCAATAATGGAAAAACATATTTTAAAGAGATTTAAAACAGATATAATATACAACATCAGCATGAGATATGAGATCCCTAAATTTTCAAGAGAATCAGTCTAACGACTAGAATTTATTTAATTTTTGAAGCTACTGAAAACTCACTTGATCTTCTTCTTCTATTCTCAAACTTAAATTTGAATTCTATAGGACCACAAAGAAGAGTTGGAAGATAGACTTAAACAGAGCAACGTTTTGGTTATAAAACTTATGTTCCTGATCTCTGAAATCAGTGTGAATAATCTATCATGATCAATTGCTATCCTGAAAAGTAAATCGTAATGGTGTTTGGCATATTCGGGGAAGAGTTACGATCTTGGATACCTTGCTTGATATTTGGAAAACCAAAATCATAACAGAATATATCGATTCGCAGTTAACATACAACTTCATCAATATTTTCGAGTATTTTTTCACATCTCCTACACTTTCTTCCTTATGTAACTCAATAAAATAACAAGACCTATTGGCATTTCACGCATCATTCTCAGAATTTCGTCTCAAGAACAAACATCAGTCTTTGCAAAATGTTCAACAATTTACGCAGACATGCAAACTTTGACCAAAGTAATGAAACAACTTATCAACATTGAGGAAGTTGAAAACCCGGATCGTTCGAAGAATAAGGTTTGATTTCAACCGAAGATAAATCCGAGGTGTTCTAACTCAAGCCACATTTGAGTAACTAATGTTATAATTTTTTTCACTAATTTACATTGAATAAATAGATAAACAACAATTGTGTAGCGTTTTTTATAATTTTTACAACTTCACTAACGAAATCGCCATCTATGGTATCGACAGAAATCAGGAGCTAGCTAAAAATATCAGTAGTACCAATCTAACAGTCCTAGTGAACTAATAGATTTACGACTATCCATGATAATAGTTAGACAATTTCCACAAATGAATTTGTTATTCTAGACGCCGTAGCTTCATTACCACCGATGAAGCTACCGTACTAGATTCAAAATGTTATTTGTGTAATGGGTCAGTGTATTCAAGATTTGATAGATTTATAATATTGTCACACTTTTTATTAACCTAAAGTAAAATTTGTATACTCTCAAATCCTTCATTTCTTATTTCAGTTTGGGAAATTTCCAAATCGAACGAGAGATGGATTAACTGTGGAAGAGGACCTTGCAAATGCAGACCAGAGACAAAAAGTGTCATCTGTTGGCAAAATGAATTGACTTCCCTACCAGCAGAACAAGTTCTGCCTCATGATGTCATTGCAATGTAAATAAACCAACAGAAAGACATGAATAATCTCTAAAACGATAACATTTTCAGTGATTTGGGGATCAACATGCTGACCACTTTGAACAAAAACGCGTTTATATCTTTGGCACATCTTACAGAACTGGATTTATTTGACAACAAGCTAGACCACCTACCTGAAAATGTCTTCGTTCACCTGGAAAGTCTCAAATATTTGTAAGTTTTAGTGGCTCTCAAATTGAAATCAGACTGTGAATGATCGAAATAGCACTAATCTATTTATCTTTTCATTTTGAAGGACATTTTTTTTTAAGGTCCTATTGGAACTCTATATGGCATTTCTTGAAGAAGAATTCCGTGCTCCATGAGCTCTACATTTCAGATTTTACATTAACATGACAACAACTGACAATTGAGTTGGAAGTGTCCTTCAAGACCTTTTCAAAAATGTGTTTAAAAATTTTATAACATTTCGTCTACCTTAATGCTATTCATGATGTAGAGAATCTTTTCATGTGTTTGAATTTTAAAGCGCTTTCTTATTTATCTTATTCAGTAATGTATCAAAAAAATCTAATTACCCTGCAAGCTTCATATTCATAATCTCAACTTCCGTATCAATTTACTGGTGGTGATTTTGCTATTATTCATACTCCTTATTTTTCCACAGAGTTTCTGAAGAAACGCCAGTTGGAGTTTCGAAAGATAGAATAAAAAAAAGTTATCATTTTCGACTGCAATTTAAAAACTCATACAATTAACACAAAAACAAACATAATGCAATGGAAAAATGATGAATGTGGATAAATGACTCACATATATAAACGTTTGTTTGAAGGTGATTGACAATGTTTCGTGATGAATTTCACTAGTTCGGACTTACATTGTCTACTATATAAAATGATTTGAAATCCCTGAAACAAGTAAAAAAGAATAATTTGTTATTTTCAACTATTCTTTTTTTAATTATTCTTTTTTACTTGTTTCAGGGATTTCAAATCATTTTATATAGTAGACAATGGAAGTCCGAACTAGTGAAATTCATCATATATAAAGTTATGCATACTCATTAAATGAAAGAAAGATATTCTTTCGGAATAGAAAACCTTAACTTGTCCTGGTACATATCTAGTTATTAAAAGTCATCAACAAAATCGACAGCTTTAGTGAAAAAAACACTTTCAACCTCTCTTTGACATTATTTAGGGTGAACTCTTTGAATCAAACAGAGAGTGAGTCATGCAGTTTTGCTATAGTGTAAAAAAACCTCTGGTGAATATTGATGTCCTGTGCTACAAATTTGTCGCGCTGGTGTATTAGAAAGTACTATCTTATGGGTCAGTGTGAGGAGGTGCATTTCTCTCATCCAACCAGAGTCACCGAAAGACTAACTAATGTGGTCACACTCGCGTATGCAATACAAAAATTTTATGCAGCTAATTTGTACCCGCTGTTAACGTAGAACGTCGGCTTGTCCATCAATTTTGTCACAGCTAGTCGAGAAAAAATCAGGGGCCCACAAAGTTTCGGCCTCATATTTTTTGACAATAAATGTCTGTTAGGATAAACTTGTCTCAGAAGGTTTAAAAATACTTTGCACAAATGGAAGTTTTTAGTGAATATGCAATCATTGCCAAAGAGCAAGGTTTTTAATGTCATAATTATTCATAGTTACCTTTTTATTCATCACCTTGGATAAGCATAATTCGTGTACTAAAAGACCAAACGACACCTTTCAAATTCGCATCATATACTTTGCTCATCTTCAGTATCTCAGCACTGAACGTTATCTATTATAAGTTTATCAGTAATGCAGATAGCGAGCTGGAAAGTGTCATTCTCATTCCAAAAAAATATTGAACATATACGTTGATACAAGAGTAATATATGAAAATGAATTATACGCAATTTTACTTTCTATTTCCGCTTTATTGCAGACGTTTACACAAAAATCAAATTGAAGAAGTATCCCCGGACCTACTTTCTTTCCAAAGAAATCTCCAAACGTTCGATGCTTCAGAGAACTTCATCAAATCTCTACCAGATGCTCTATTCAAAGGCACTCCCAACCTTATATTACTACATTTATCAAGAAATCGCTTGAAAAAGCTCACTGAAACGGTATTCGCTAAGCTGGAGTTACTAGAAGATCTAGATTTGAGTAACAACCTCTTGGAAATTTTACCCAAATACGGATTTAGTGACTTGGTATCTTTGAGAAGACTATTTTTGGCAGAAAATGAAATAGCCATTTTACCACTTGGTAGGTGTGAATGAAAATTGAATGAATACTACCATTTACTCGAACAAAATAGCAGTAAATTAATTTTCATTTTTTTTTCTAACTCGAAGTTTTGTTCTAGGTGTATTCGACAAACTCGTCAATCTGGAACAGCTCAATTTGAGAAAAAATCAAATTTCTCATTTGCCTCCCAATCTCTTCGACAAGCTACAGAGTCTTAAAATTTTGCACTTAACAAATAATAAAATAAGCCAGGTTAGTTCTCAACATTTTCTGCTGAATTTCGCGATGATGAAACCCTAACCTCAATATCAAAGTGGCAGCAGAAAAAATACCAAAATTATGCCAAGGTCTCCAATAGGCAGCTGCAACTGCATAGCTAACTTTAAAAAAAACACTTCATTGTAAGATTTTCACTAAACAATTTTACAAAAACGCAACACGTCTTTCGCCATACAAAGACACGCCCGAAGAAGCCATCATATGGCTAAACAGGTGTTGCGTTTTTGTAAAATTGTTTAATGAAAATCTCACAATAAAGTGTTTTTTTAAATACGTTAGTTATGCATTTTCATCAAGTATCGGCCGATTCCATCATATAGCAATTGCATAGATTTTACTTTTTTCTTTCATTTCTGTTGTTTTCATCACAAAAATCATGGTCAAGTAACCATTGCGCTGACAAGGAAAGGATTAGCAATGGAAAAATAATTTTTCACATCTGACCGTTTGATTTTCCCTTAGTGTTGATCAATGTCAATGCATGTCAACCAGAATGGTTTGTCCAGAAAAACTCCAAACTTAATAATCTTCATTAATGATCATCAATGAATACCCCAGGGAATTGCCCTTGAACCAATTTCAATTGAATATTGCACTTTTTACTGTTTTTGATTATTATTAACACAGTGAAAAATCAAAATTTTCATATTTTTTCAACGGGAATCTTTTTTGAAGGCTTTCAAGAGAAGTTTCAAAAACTAAAAAAAATTGAGGTTTCTAGTTTAAAAATTATCAGGTTTTTATGTAAATTTAAAACTTTTAAAAATTAGTTATTCAACCAAAGTATATCTAATAAAATAGTCACGAGAAAAATGATTTCATTCAAGTGTCTAGAAGGTATGTGAAGTTGTTTTTTTAATGATGATATTTAATGGGTTGAAATAATTTTTATTGTTCAAAGGTCCATATCGGTTAGCGCGTACGGGACGCGCATTGCCAGCTTTCAGAACTATTTTCGCTTCTAAATTGAAATTATAAATGTTGATGATTTGGGAAGGTTGTTTTCTTTAGTAAATTTTCTCCACTTCAAGGGTCTTTTTTTAATTTCGGAGGTCTTTAATATTTTCAGAGATATTTGCAAAAAACCAAACCCCCCCTTTTTTTACTGAATTTTTACTTGTGCAATTTTTTTAACCTCTCTCGAAATTTTTCAAAAAGTTGCTAGGGGTCATTCCGAATCGAATGAGCATTGGATCATAATTTTCGGTGCCCTTGGACAGAAGTTCCAAAAAAAGATCTTGTCACCCAAACCCACCAAAAAGCTGGACTGCCCCGCGAAAATCGGGAAGCGTGGTCACTCTACCAAACACCCAACTGCAATGATTTATTTCACAACCTATAACATGGATATTTCGTTACGCTTGCTCGGTGAATGTCTTATAATACCTGTTGCCAGACAGAATTAGCCCCTCTACTACAGCCCGTCTGAACTATAAGTATAAATTGATTATTGCAAATATCTCGGTTTCTATTGCAAATACGTCAAAAGTGATCAGAAACGATTTTATAGAAAATTTTATTGCCTACATTTTTTGTTTCGACCTTTTTTTCATATATTTTTATGCTTTCGAGATATATTCAAAAAATGGATTTTTGGAGTAGTTTTTATTCATTTTCTATCCCCTAAATTAAATTCAACATTTTTTAACTATAGATCCTTTGAATGTATGCTAAAATCAACTTATATTGAAAAATGCAGGCTTGCCTTTTGCATGGTAATTTAAATCCTCATTTTATTGGACTAATTATCTATACAAATTATCTCTTTTGCCAGATTCTATGTCATAGAAGTGAAAATTGATTACCTAATACTTGTGCTCAACTTGGCCAACAAAACACTTTCATTCAGCTATTTAGAATCATTACAGAGCAAAGGCAGATTAGTGAAAATCATTTATTCATCATGAATTCAACAAACATAATATTTCATTTTACTGATTTCTTTTTCGAGGCTTAGATTTCGACTACAGTGCATAGTGTAAAAACGAGCACATAGTGAGTATCCCCGGTTTTCTGCACATTCTATTCAAAGGGTGAGAAAGTAACTTTTCCAGCTGTAAACAACAAGGTGAATCCGATAAATGTATTCATTTAAATAAGCTCAAAAACAATAACGAACAAAAAATACTAGTATCATTGTAAAAAAAGCGAACGGCGCTTGATATACAAAAAATATGGCACAAAGCGCCCACGCTTTTCTCACAATAATACTAGTATTTTTCGTTCGTTATTGTTTCAAGCTTTTTTTTTTAAATTATTGTCAACTTTTTAGTTCGATGTTCTTTGAAAATCTGCTTAAAATCTATTTTTCCGTTAATCTTTTGTCGCCCCCATACGAACGACAACTCTCAGAAGTTGAGAAACTTGTGCGAGCTAAGGACTAACGAGGTCTTACCTTTTAACGTGTAATTCCTAACAAGCGTGTTTTTTAGTTTTTTAAACTATATTTATTTTTCATTTTTCAGTTTCGTATTATATAAAATCGTATTTTTAATCTTTTTAAACTATATTTATTTTATCTAAACTTTGGGATCAATCAGCCGTATATTGTTTAGAAAAATTACCATTGATATCAGCTACCTAAAAATGGGCTACCAAGCCCAAGGCAGCAGGCACGCAAAGGAGGGTTACAAATAAGGCAGCAACCGCACGTGTTATTAAAAAAAAAAACTTTTTTCAAATGAAGAAATACATGTAAGGTGAGTTTGAATTATATCAAGGAAGTTACGTACAGCGCCATCTGCCCGCGAATAGATCAAGATGGTAATTCATGATCACTTTGATGAAATGAATAAAAACACTTATGTCTAATTTAATTACCACCGTTAGATTTCATTTATACGACCGGGTTCGACCCCATTATCAAGTATAAAACTGCAGTTTTATACTTGATAATGGGGTCAAACCCGAAACCAGTTACAAATAAACTGACAAACAAACAAACATACATACATGCATAATACATACATACCCACAGGTGAAGCTAATGAAAGCGTGTTAATAAAAATCAGCAATGTATATAATTTGTATGCAGTGTTGATCAAGTCTCGCATTTCACATTTCTTCTTATAGAGGGTTTTACTTGGCGCAGCTGTAGCATGAAGGCTGGCTATTTTGTTTTTTTCATTCTTTAATATGAAAAATAATAACTTTTCTCAGATATCTGTGGGAGATTTCAAAAAGTTGACTAACATCATCGAACTACACCTTGGTCAAAACTTCATAGGTGAATTTCCAGAAAATGCTTTTATAGAAAACAGGAATCTCGAAAAATTATTTCTGTTCTCAAATAATTTGGAAGAACTGAAAGAAAAAAGCTTTAACGGCCTTGTTGGATTAACGTCGCTACTCATCAACAACAATATTTTGAAAGATATCCACTCGAGAGTATTTTTCTATACACCCAGTTTACAGAAACTGTGAGTATGATTTAAATTTTTTCATATACTTATTCATTATCTAATCAAATATTGAACTCACAACTATAATTTTTATTGTTCTTCAAAGTTTTTGCATTTCTTGACTCTTAATTTTCGATAAAATTTCAAATACATTCCTATCTTTCGATAGAATAACAAAATTACTTATAGAATATCACTATAACGATAATTCTGTTTCAGCTTACTGTCACTGCCGTATTTAACAACCATGATAAAAAAATAAAAAATGTATTTACTCTATATAGACCACGATTTCCATTTATTAACCTTCATTAATTTTTTCAGTCATTTAGACAGCAACAAATTCCATTTCCTGCCAACAAAATCTCTGGATTTTCTAACTGAACTAGTATCAATAAAATTGGCAAAAAATCCTTGGCATTGTGATTGCAACATCCTCTATTTAGCAATGTAAGTACCGCAAAAAATGTATTTTGCCTTATAATGAAACTGACTAATTGATAGGTAATTTTGTTTTGAGTGAAAAATTGTGTACATATAACAGAATATCTTTTTTGGAGATATTAATTTTTTTTTCTTAACAAAATCAATCTCTAAATGTATCAATTCGATTGTCTTTCTCAATGTTGCACGTGGAACACTGAAATTGGGCGAATAACAAAATATATATCTCATTATTTTTGAATTTTATAGAACGAAATTGTGTCATTTCCTATCGATTCTGTAATTTATCCTACAGATAAACGCGTTTTATCAAAAAGTGGATTTCATCATTTTGATTCTCTCTCAGTATTTGAATGATCGATTTAGATATTCCAGATATGTTAACACACAGGTCTAATATGAACAATATCGCATATCTTATCGGAAACGAGATAAAATCGCAATGAAATAAATTTTCCCAAAAGTTTCCTTGAAATATTCAAATTCAACCTATTTCAACATAATTATTTTCAATATGCCACAACAGAATTCAATCATAAATAGGTACGAAACATACAACGTTAAACTCGGAAAATTGTAAAAACTTGAGAGGGAAGAGTGAGTTAGCTCCTGTTCAGAAGTGAACCTAATTATAGATAATAAATTGAAAAATGTTTACTGTTGTATTTCTGATAGATCTATATTTATAAATGAGAAAGTAACTTAATACTCATTCCTTTCCGCTTCTCCGTACCACCGGTAAGTCCTAGGAAGTTGAAATTTGGTGTACAGAGTGTTTCAAATTCACCATTGGGATCTCGGAAACTATGAGAGATACGAAGATGGTTAAAGCGGGGCAAAGTTGCGCATTTACCTGACTAACAATATGCCGTAGAGAAAATTCTGAAATTCCGAGTATATCCGGAAGAAACAGAAATTTGAAGGATTATTTGAAGGATTTGAAAATAAATTGCACTTCCACACTGCCGCTTTTTGTATGATACATAATGTTGTTTTCAGATTTGCTATCCGACGTTTCGTCTTCCAACTACCATCGTCAACTATATTTTTTCTTACGGGCGCTACAATGGATTCTTTCTGTTTTGAATACAACCAGAGTTTACCTTTTCAATGGTGTACCATAATTTATCATTCTTTTTCGAAAAATTGGAGTAATGAAAAAATTAATTCTCATCATAATATGCTTTGATTTTGATGTTTCTAAATTTGACTTTCAATTTGTTACACTCAATGACATTTTGTTATTGTACAAGTCATTGAATTTTTGGCGAAAAATGGCTTTCACGAATGAAGAAAAAAGAGATATGATACAATTATAATGGGAAATCGTCGAAGCACTATCAGAAGAGTTGCTGAGGATATTAGCATATCGGCTGGCTCATGCCATGTAATTTTTTGGGCATGAAGGGTATGGCAGCGTAGTTCGTTTCAAAGTTGTTCAATGTTGATCAAAAAATCCATCGCATGAGCATAGCACAAGCAGTGTTGAATGTCATCAAAGGCCATCTAGATTTGCTTGAAAGGGTTATAACCGGTGACGAATCATGAGTAAATGGTTATGACATCAAAATCAAAGTCCAATCGTACCAATGGTGGAGCCTTGAATAGCCAAGACCAGAAAAAACACGCCAAGTTCGATCAAACGTCAAGGTTTTACTCACTGTTTTCTTCAATTACCGTGGCGTAGTTACATCAGGAGTTCTTGCCGCATGGTCGTAGAGTCAATAAGGAGTATTATTTTGAAGTCATGCGCTACTCGCGAGAGGAAATACGAAGAGAACTTCCGGTATTGTGGAGAAACAATTGATGGATTTTACGCCTCGATAATGCACCCGCTCAATCGTCATTGCTTGTTCGTAATTTTTTGGCCAAAAAACAAAACTGTAATTAATCCTCAGCCACCGTATTCAGCAGATTTGGACTCTTGTGACTTTTTTCTGTTCCCAAGATTGGGGGAGACTCATGAAAGGACGGACCAAAAAGTGTATGTTAGAACTGCTTCGAAGATTTAAGAAAACACACTGATACAGGGGAAACTACTTTGAAGGGGGCAAAATTGATGAATAAATGAATATTTTTGATAAAAATTAAAGTTCACCTTATTTTTTTAACAGACGTCTTACATATGAAATTTGAAATACATATAAGACCAAATGAAAAATAGGAAATCAATAATATCAAATGTAAATCTCACAAATATTGGTACGAGAGCATGAAGAGACGTCCTCTCAGGTATCTCAGAAGTGCGACTTCTTCATAAAGGAGGACGAATGAATTTCGACTCACAGGTGATTTTGATGAAATTGGTGAAAAGTGTAAATCGTTGTATTCGTGACAGTGTAGGGGTGTTTGCAGTGATTCGAAAGTACATACGAGTATAGATTATAACGACAAGAATCCACATTGTCTGCTGCATAATAGCTCATAAATAATCCTATTAGAGGAAGTTCGATGGCAACATTCGATTTGTCTCTGAATCTTTCCATTGGAGAGAATTTTTTTGAAATTAATTACTAAAATACGGGAAAATTGATGGATTGATAGTGACTTGCTTTTTTCCTTGCATCTCGAATACGTCAGTTTTTTAACTTCAACCGAAGTTTCCTCTCTCATGAAGTAATCCAAGCATTGCGACAATCTCATTTGGCCAGTTCTTTGTGCTATGGGGAAAGACGAATCCCAGATTGGAATAATTGAAATAAATTCGAAACGGTACCAATTTCATTCAAGAAATCCTTTACAGAGCTGATTTCATCTTCATGTGTTTGATCTGCACATCTTAGTAAAGAGTTTATTTTGGAATAATTTGCTTTTTTTTGGAAGATTCCCATTTTTTTTTGTATGAAGATGACGAAATAGAAATCCAAAACTTTTCTTTCCCAATAAATTATTCTCTCCTAAAATAATATCCCTTTTGATGAAATATACATTTGAAAAAAATCTGTAGCATAAACTGACTGTGTACATTTTTTTCTGATTGATTCGGCCGTTACTTTGATGAAGATCCATAGTAATTGCAAAAACTACACCTTACGATTTGATCTCCATAAACTTTATTTGAAAAATATATCACAACATGTATCGCTAGCACAGTAGCTTTTGAGAAAGCTACTGTGAGTTTTTGAAATGACTGTACAATCGAAAATCCGAATTTTTATCTTGCAGATGGATCGACGCCAACAAAAATAAGCTTTGGGATTCACAGCCGTCTTGCAGAGGTCCTGGTGATCTTGGCGGATCTTTCTTGCAAGACATGAGATTTGATAATCTTTGCGAAGGACAGTGGGCAAGCATGCTCAATTTGTCTCCCAGAATACCAGTCAAAAATAAACTGAATGAAGAACTCGAAATGTGGAGAAATTTGACAAAAGATTAAGTGGAATATAATAAACGAGTCTTTAATAAAATGATATCGCTTTTGTTTGTTCTGGTTTTCAAATTTCATCCATATCGATATGATAAATGAACTTATCTCTAATCAAACGCATCAATCATTTTCAAATTATCAGCAAAGTATTTGAATCGAATGATGATGATCTCATTCATCTATATTTTAAATTGGATATTTTTCTCATGTTGTCCAATGTTTTCATGGTCAATAACAAAACTACCAAACTAAATGGGAAGTTACGTTAAACCACATCATTCTAACTACATTACTTGAATAGTTGACCTTTCTGTAACATTTTCAACCAATTCAGAATTTAGTGATGCTCAAACTCGTCAAAAAGGCATAAAAAGTTTAAATTGGAAGTAATTAATTTTTGTAGGGAAGAGGTGCTAAGAATCGCATGTCACAATATAACGCCTTGTTAATATTCAGATACAGATTTTGATCAGATTTTGAAACATTTTGGAATACAAACTGTAGGTTAAAAGGCGTTTTTTTGCTATTCAATGTTATTATCCTAATGATTGTTTTGAATGGACTTTCTATTTAGTGTATTACAATGTTCGTGTGAAAGTAGTTGTTTTCCAAAGGCTTCTTCATTCAGTTCGTATCTGAAATGAACTTGTATGTATGATATACACAATATTGCAAAGAGTTTATTTGAAAACTGTCTTCCATCTTCCTTTTTTGAAAGTTTTCTACGGTTTTTGCTCGATTATAGATAAATAGAAAGTCTAAAGTGTTTTATCCCAAAATCGAATTCCTTTTATAAAAAACTAGTTGTTGCCCGCGGCTTCGCCCGCGTAGAATTTGGTAGTTGTAGCACTAATTAGTACTATGTTGCTATATCGCTGTTGTTCCAATGTTTTGACAGAATCAGAATCAACGAACTTAGGCGTGAGCAGCGTTATAGAACAGGCTTTCAAAAAATTGTTCTATAGCGCCATCTAGTGGCGAGTTACAGAAAAATTGTTAGCCTAAAAACCTTCTTTAGAAAAATTACTTGTACATGTCAAGTTTCATCAAGATTGGTTGAGCAATGTAGAAGTTTATCACTTACCAACCAACCAACCAACCAACAAACATCCATTTTTATATATTAGATTTCTTGTTACATTCGAACGAAATTCATATGTTTCGGATTGAATGAAAAATCCGTATGAATGTTTCAACTACTGTCATCGTGACATAAGCAGGTTGGTCTCTTTTGGTGATTTCGTAATTTCGTGTGGGAGGTGCGTGTGGTTTCGTCTTCAAAAAGTGATGAGTCGTTGAAGACAAGTGTTTTCGGCCCATGTTGGTGAAATTTTATATCAATTCTCTTTCCTGTGAATGATATCCGTTTCAATTCCATACCGAATATTTTCAATACAACTGAATGAGAATTGTAATTCATTGTTCATATGAAAGATTTTGTCGAACATCTGTCTCTTCCAATTTGTATGTGAAAGAAACTCTATGCATGATATACACGTTTTTGTAAAGATTTCATTCTGAACATCTTTTCCGAAAGTTTCCCAAATTATTGTATGAAGATGAAGAAGTAAAAAGACTTTTGTAGTGATAACTTCTTATGGGAGAGTAAACCACTTGGTAATGTAACGCATAACGGCGCCAGTTTGTCTGGCTTCCCTTTCTCCCCGCTCTAACACACAGCGCTAGCCGTATTTCGGACAACCGATTCTCTCGCCTCTCTTCGCATGACCCAGTGTTCAGTGTGCGATCGACATATACTGTTGATAGAGAGCATATAACACAAAACCTTACACCGCTTTTGGAAGTAATTATAAAAAATTTGATGAAACAAGCAGAAGTTGATCCTCGGAACATTACAGAATCTCTTAACGAAAGATAAGTTCAAAAATATAATATTCATCAATAACAAGCATTCAACAAGTCTACCGGTCCGGCGTCTATATTTTGAATTTCCAAGTGTCCATTTGAATAATATCAAGTGAATATATCCTTAGAGAAATTTTCAAAGCACCAGAAGCCTTTTCACCAAGTATGGAAACTTCCTTCAAATAAATGTCTTTAGTAACTGTAAGTTTGCATTATATGGTATATTTCCCATATAATTGCATAGTCAAGAAGAATACTATCAAGGAAAAGTTTCATACATAACATTTCTATGGAAAATATTTCGTTAACTCATCAACTTCAATAAAAACGCCATAACCGGCAGTGAAAATACTACCTACTATAGTAGGTAGTTCCATTTCAACAATCAAAATGCTCATTTTTCACAAGTTGACTCAAGCACTTCAAAAGATACGATACCATGCTGAATAGGACGATGATAATTCAAGTTTCGCAATGATGAATCAGTAGCAAAATTATTGAAACCTCAAGGCACTCTTGATTATCACTCAAGTTAGTCACGTAGTACCACTGAACGTGTAATTCACAGAATATTTTTTTTTCAATACGTTTATTCATAAAATATATGTATATACAAAAATATACCTACCATCTATCTTATAAACTATTCATATACATATGTATTTATAGTTCAGCCATTTATAATTCATAACTAAAAATAAAATATTTTATTTGAAAAATTATTTATTTTCTCTGATTTAATTTTACGCCACCTATCCAATCTGAGCATATCAATAAAATCTCCTATGTGTTTATGAACATCTAAATTGTAATGAACAATTCCACATATTGCCCAAACCCACACTCTTCTATCCAACATATTATCTATCTTGACATTAAATAAATCTTTGGGTTCGGTGTACATAGCTGTCAATCCATATATCCTAAATAGTTTGTTTCTGCTCCACTCCCATATATCCCTTGCTGGACCACATGTTGTTAACCTATGTGCAATATTATCAGTCACATTACATTTACTGCAATCCGCACTAATGCTCAATGCATGTGAATACAGTTTTTCTGCAACTGGAAATACTTCATTTATGGCTTTATAAGCACTGGAACGCCACCTTGTTGATGTATATGTGTTCATTAGGATATTTGACCAGATGCGACTCCAATCATATTGGGGATGTTTGAGTTGTATTGATGGGGTTTTATTTTCCTTTTCCATTATTTGTCTATATATAACCTTAGAAGTTGCCAACTCGTTCTTGGTGAACACAATCCCTAAATCTCTAATACTTTTACTAATATTTTTATGTAAGGGTGCATACTATCATGATTATTTTCGAATATTTTATTTATCACCGATTTGTAAAAAATTTTATTTTCAACAGTTGTCCATGACCTCGCTTGTATTTTAAGAAATAAAGCTAGTGCCTTCCTATCGACGTTGATCAAGTTCAATCCTCCTTTTTTACACGGCAGGTACAACTGATCTTCAGCCACCGTAAATAAATTCCCTTGCCATATGTAATTTCCCGTGAGAAGTGTTATTTTTTGGCTATATTTTTTCGGGAGAGGGATCACCTGTGCCAAATACCATAATTTAGACAAAACACATGTATTCACAAACCACACTTTCCTAATTAAATCCAAATCTCTCAGATAGTTCAAGAGTAAACTCAACCTTATATTTTTAATGACCGTGTCCCAATTTTCATTCACCATATCTCAAAATCTGTTTGAAATAATTACTCCCAAGATTTTAATTTCTTTTTTCACAGGAAAATTCCTTATGGCAGTTTGTTGTAACTCCGTCATTCGCCCAAGAGGTAAAATTTCGGATTTATGGACATTTAATCTAGCATTTGCACCTTTTTCATATATCCTGATTATTCTGTTTATAGTATCTACATCTCTTTCGTCTTTGATATATACGGTGATATCATCCGCATACGCCGATATTTTCCTCAGACTATCCCCAATTTTGATACCCTGCAGACTGAAGTCAACTATTCTAATGAAAGATTCTATAGATAAACTAAACAATGTCATTGACATAGGACAACCTTGTCGGATCAAAGTTCGTATGTTGAAACCATCTGACAGATATCCATTCAGTAGTATTTTTGAGCGAGCACCCTTATATATATTTTTGAATATCTCAATTATGTTTCCAATGAAGCCCATTACTTCCATTACAGCCCACAGGTATTTATGATTTGCCCTGTCAAAAGCTCTACTGAAATCCAGTGACAGTATCGCACCTGCTTGTTGTTTATCTTTTTCGAAAAATAAAACTGTGTCCCGCACTAACAACAAATTATTGAATATTGATTCATTGTTACCACCTACCTCTTCTAGTCCAATAATATTTTTTATATTTTTCATTCGATATGCAATTATTTTCATAAACAACTTGTAATCAGTGTTGAGCAGTGTGATTGGTCTAAAATCGGACAAATCGTTTGCGTTCTTTACTTTTGGGACAAGGGTAATGACTGCCTCTGAAAATTCTTTTGGTATTATTGTCTTAGCGGAGAGTAGCATGTTAAACATTTTACTGAGCTCATTCCCGAGTTCATCGAAAAACGTCAAGTAGAATTCATAGGTGAGTCCATCTAAGCCAGGTGTTTTTTTCTAGGCAGTTCCAGCAAGCACTCCTTTCACTTCTTCCACAGTTATTTCTTTTTTCAAAAACATGTTATCACGATGTGATACTTTGTTTTTAATATGAGCAAGTCGACACCTGGTGTCCCTGTCATTGACTTGTGGGTCCTGTTGATTATCATTGAACAATTTTGAGTAAAAGGTATTAGCATAGTTGATTTGTAAGTATTTGACCGTTTTCAGTTAAAACGGAAGAAATGATGGATATTTTGTTTTTCTTATGCTGCATGAGATCATACAGGCTGTATCTCTCGTTTATACCTTCCTTATCTTTATTTTTGAACCTAGTGTTTAGTTGTTGTTCTTTCAGCTGTAATATTGTATTTTTATTCTCCCCATATTCATTCAAAACCTTTCGCCTCTGTTCAACTTTTCATTTGTTTCAAAAAGTTCCTTTTGATAAAAATCCATCATCTGTCTATTCTCAATGGCCTGCTCTATTTGGATGGACTTAAAATAAGCTTTAGTTCTTTTTTTAAAACATCCAAACCACCACTCTATGAAATTTCTATTATTTGATTCCTCAGTCAGAGAAGATCGTTTCACTTTCCAATAACCCCACTCGTGACTTGTGACCCTAACTTTGTTGTTGGGATTCACCTGTATTTATACAATGACCGCCTTATGGTCTGAAAAGGCGATTGGCTTTATTTCACATCTATTGATTGAATCTTTAATTTCCTGCGATATGTATACTCTATCTATTCTAGATGCCGTATTTTCTCTAACAAAAGTATATTCTATTTTTTTTTTTTATATATCACAAAACTCACTCAGATTTTCACTTCCTCAGAAAAAAGGATCTTCACTATCCTTAGCCTGTTCACCCTTTTCGTTCTTTCCAGATGTTACCATGTTCCGCTTGCCGCAGTCGGTCCCATTTGTTCCGGCTCTTGATGGAAGTTTGATAGTCAGCTTTGGCACTTTCCTCTCCTCTTCGGAGCTGGTATCTGTTTTTTGTCGCTTTTTTTTCCTTAAACCGGCCATTATCTTCGTAACGTCCTCCCAACTACCCGGTGTCGGTGAAATTATATCACTAGGTGATTAAATCTCCGATTTTTCTTCCGGAAAAATTTCATTGAGCTCCTTTTCCTCCTTCCGTTTATCATTTTGTCCTTCTATAGTTTGATTTACTGGTGTGGACTCAGCCATCTGAGTTTCAGGAAATTCCAGCCGCATCTCTGTGTTTTCCGTCTGCCTTTCTTCATTATCAGTTACTACTGGATCGTTCGGTCTGCTTATGTGATTTACTCTATTCAGCTCCCTTTTTGGACAATCTTTTCTTTCATGTCCTGGTTCTTCACAAACCATACATGTGCGTACCTGATTGGAATACGTAACCAATGAGGTGCACCCTTCGATCGACACATAAGACGGTACTGGTTTTTTCATGGCTATCCACATTGCTCTTATTCCAGTTTCCACGTTGAAGAGCCCATCGTCAACATATTTCTCATTTCGAATGTTTTGATGTCCATAATTTGACATCTTCTCCTTGATTTTCTGGTTGTCCATTTCCAATGAGAAATCGTAAATCTTCACTAATACATCGTCAGTATCCTCTGTTATGAAGACATCAACCTCCTCGCCTTCATCTCCTACGTATTTGACTATTCCGTCACTGAACTCCTGCAGAATTGCCTGCATCGTCACGTTTGATACCAACTTGAGAAACACTTTATGCCTAACATCATCAAATTGTATTCCTACAATTTGATCCACAGTACACTTCAACACATTCTTTATCCACATATGAAGGTTTGTGTTCGACGGTTTTTTCCGAACGTTCTTAAAATTTAACGTTAGCCTATTCACTCTCTTAATCACCATACTGACTCACTGTTATTACTTACACTTATCAATCGTCGCACGTCTGTACCCTACGGTGTCTAATGCAAGACTGAATATTAATATAATTATGAATTATCATGATTTTTATAATTTGTACAGATTGAGCACAATAAACTGTCCATACTGGAGATCAATATTCTAGTATTGAGTGGATGGTCTGAAATCATTTTCAGACAGTCCACTTATGAAAGGTGTATATTCCCAATTTTTGTTTCTTATCAACCTATTTTCTAATGTTGCTCCGTACCTCAAGTTTGTATGTATGTGCCCTCTCATTTGATTCTTATATCAGCACTGATTAATTCTTCTGCATAGCCCAGTTTTTTATATCTATCATGGCCCAAAAGACGCAGTACTCATTCAATATGAGATTTTGTGTAGGAAAGACCCAAGGACAAAAAAATAACTGATGGGTATGCTAGTATCATCATTTTCATTAATGGAGCCTCAAACAACCGTGAGGTCGTGAAAACTATTTCAAAAGAAGTGACTCAGGATGACTGCCATATTCACCAAATTTCAATTACCATTGTTTTAGTTTCTTCTCTATGATCCGAAGTCCTATCTTGACGTTCGCTCACTAATACATTCAAGTAGATGATAATTACTTGAATCTGCCGTTTCCTGATGAATCGGAATTTTGGGTTGAAAGAGTTCAGAGATGAGGACAATGGCAATAAGTTCGGTTGCTGCCCACCATGCTGGCAAACTACGAGACTTTATTTATGTTGATTTAATAAATACCTTTTTTACTGTAATTCCTCTTCATAAAGATAGAGATATTGGTATCTCTTCAACTTTCGACCTATATCCTTAATAACAAAACTTGCAAAAATTATAGGAAAACTAGTCAAAAGAAGACTAGTGGATTTTCTCGAAAAAAAAAACAGATATTAAACAAATGTCAGTTTGGATTCCAGAGTAAAAAAACACACTTGATGCCATTTTTTCATTACTGTACAGTCTATATAACAAATTAAATGATGGAGAGTGCAGCTGCTGTGTTATATAACTTATCTAAGGTGATCAACTGTATTAGTCATGGTACACTGCTTCGGAAACTACAACAGTATGAAATAAGAGGTGTAAGTCTCAATTGTTTTAAATCCTATTCATATGAGCGTAGTTGAATTGTCAAAACGACTAGTTATTATGAGGAAGGAAAAACAAACTGGAAGTTCATCAAAGCTCAATTCCTTTTGTATATGTATAAATGATCTGACATCAAAGGTGTGATATTAAAGGTGAGTTCACACTATTCGCTGACGACACTACAATTTTATGGCATGATCAAAATTCCCCTGAACTTAAAACAATAATAAATTGTGATATTAGCAAAATAAAGAGATAGTGTGAAGCAAATCTTCCAGTTTTAATATATCTGAAACGAACGTCATTTGCTTCCAATGTTCTATTAGCAATTTACAAGTTGTTGTGGATAAAGCATCAACTAAATTTCTGGGACTAAATTATCCACAGTGATTTGAAATTTGAAGACCATATCAGGTGTCTTAAATGAAAATTGTCCTCTGGGTCTTACGCTGTGAGGCTAACACCTTGTGAACATCCATTTTGTGCATTTAGAAACTTGAGTTTCTAATAACTTGACCACACAGTCCCCTACAGCTCTGAGGAATGATTGATTATCTACAGCCGCCTACGACTCTAAAGAATGATTCTCCACAGCCCCCTTGGACTGTGAGGAGTATATCTGATAGACCAGAGCTTCGGAAAGGATACACCGATATATCCCGTGGGGTCCCGTGGGGTCCAATAAAAACATTGGGCATCTTGTGACTCAGGATTTGCTGCTGCCAAAGTTACATATCACTCTCTCATAGAATCTCACCTAAGATGGAATCCCTTTCTGGGGTGCATGTACTGTGACAATATTGCAATCAATTATAGTTATACAGAACAGAGATGTACGTTTTCTGTGTAAAAAAAGCCACGAGATTCTTGCAGACCACTATTTAAGGAAAAAATCCTCACTGTACTATCAATTTTTTTATTGAAACTATATGTCTCATAGTAAAACATAAAATCGGTTTTCAATTAACGCAAACGCCATTCGCTGAAAAAACTTCAGTTTGCCCATTCCAAAATATTTCCTTATTAAAAACTCTTTCATTAAAAATGGGTTTGAAATATTCAATCGACTTCCATCTCATCTAAAAGGCGCATGTCATAATGGAACTTCAGGAAAGTTTTGAAGGATTTTTTCTATAATTCATCAGAATACTAACAAGATCAATATTGGAAATTTTCAACATACATTCTTATGGGCTATCTTCCAAAAGTGTCGTATTGTGCTATGTAAATACAAACTGTTTTTGTTATCTTTTTTGTCCTATTTTGTTAAATATACATATATTCAGTATCTACTTGAAAATGTTATTGAACATACTTGCAATGTATATTATTTTATAGTGTATATAGTTTTATATGACTAAGTAGCGACAGCTAATATGTGTAATTTTGTTTATTTGTTCGTTCGTTTGTTTTTTTTTAATATTTTGAACAATTTTTATCAATAAGATATAAATCTACAGACAATAAAGCATATTTTGACTTTGACTTTGACTTCCTTTCGATTGAAACTGTCTCTGTATCAAATCCGACCTCTTTGATCGACAAAGATTTCAGTGCACACAAAACTACTCAAGGCTAACAGAAAACTAAGTGATAAAAGGCGCTGAAAAATCTGTATAATTAGTATTGCTTAGTGACGAATGAAACGCCACCTTCATGATGAACACCATGAAAGTTCTACAAAAGTCCGAGGTTTTTCTGCTACATCTAGATGTCCGGTGATAAGAAATTTTTATTATGTGGTATCTAAACGAGATTCTCTCATACCTGAAAACCTTCAACCAAAAAACCCCTTTTTTCGATGTACTGGTGAAAAAACATGAAAATTGCACATATAGTGTACATATAACTCATACAGATACATATCAAAATCAAAACTCTAAACACCAACTACAACAGAAGATAAGGGCGAATTAAACGTCAGAAGAGAGGGTGCAACGCATTTGTGAACTTGGGAGTATCAGCAAGAAAACTACCAAGGTCAGTAGAAGATCCCACGAAGTGGAAAGTGAGTGGGTCTATTCGACTCTCTACTATAAGCCGCAAGGGTTTATTGTGGCTCACGCCTATCCACACTCGACCAAATAAATCCAACTTCTTAACGAAGCCCAATAGTTTCTATGGTGAGTGGTCTCTCAGGTCAGATGGTAAGAGTACGGCTCTTTTTCATCAGTTCGGACTTCCATTGTCTAATATAAAATTTATATATAATAATAATAATAAAATTTATAGTAATATAAAAAATTGATTTGAAATTCCTGAAAAATATTAAAAAGATTAACCGAAAATAAGAATTTTATTTGAACAAAAAAACTGAAATTACAAAGAAATAACATAAAACCAAAACAACAACCAAAAAATAAAAGTTGAAATATTGATAAAAGCTGAAAATTAAAAATTATTATTAACAAAAATAGTAAAATGAAAAAAGATTTCAAACCAAGTTATGTCACGACGTTTCGATTGTTAGTATCCACAATCGTGTGGCTACTAACAATTTATATTATATTAGACAATGGAAGTCCAAACTGATGAAAAACACCACGAAACATTGTCAACCACCTTCAAACAGTACGGCTCTGTCGAACTCTAAAAACCTGATTCGGTCCCCAGCGGTGCAGGCACAAAGTATGTGCTCTACTATTTCATCATTTCCCAAACAGAGTCGACACACTGTTTTCCGACAGTCCGAGTCTCTGCATATGATGATTCAAATGACAGTGACCTGCAAGAATGACAGTGACCTGTAAGAAGGTCTGTTAGACATCGTTGTTCATCTCTACTGTAAGTAGTCCGACAACTGTTTGGTATCAAGCTTCGAAGGGTGAATAAACGCCTTGGAGTGAGCCAATCCTGAAAGATGATTCTGCCAGAAGTCCATAAATCTTTCTGCCATACAGGTGTTCAATCTTTGTTTGGCAAATCCTGAAGCGATGCCAATGACAGGTTCTGATCCGATGAAGCTGCTTGCAGCACCCTCCTTTGCAAGGGAGTCAGCAGCCTCATTTCTTTTAGGTGGGGTCTAATCTACAAAATTCTCGACAGAATTCAGTATTATAGTTGAGGACTATATACAGAAGTGACAAAAATTCAGGAACACAGATTTACTTTGAATCAACTCAAACAATTAGGATGAAACGTCGCCCACCATCGATGAAATTAAAACGAAGATCCAAAACCAGGATGACTCTTACACTGCATTCGTTGCCGCATTGCCTTCGATATTGTCCGCAGATGTAGACAAAAATTCAGGCATTAAAACCTACTGAAACATGACTAAAATAATTAGAAAATTATTTTCAATCAGAATAAGATTATCGAAATGGATGTCGTGGAAAAATGGAGAAAAGGACACAGTAAGCCCGTGAGCAGTGTTTTCTGGGATCTTGGAAGTCAGAAGACTCCCAAGCAACTGGTGGTTATTTGTTAGTTAGTTCCTTAAGCCGTTTGCTGTCTTTATTGGAACACTTTTTTTTCAATTCCAGTTATCTTATCAGTACCTATTTTTTTATGCGATATCATATAGGTGAAAACCAATCTCATGTAATACTTTTTTTAATGAAGCTCAAATACATTTCCTAATTTTTTCTGTAATATTTCCTTCAATAATCAGATAATTAGTCGTCACTGCTAACAAAATGCTCCAAAAATTACCAGGCGGTAAAATTCATTTTCACTTCGATGCAAATAGTATTTCGTCATTATTGATGAAGAGGCAGATACCTGAAAATATCGACACAGTTATCACTGATAACAGATAAATAAAATACTCTCAAGTGACTACCAATCCAACGAAAAACAATATAATAATTACTCGATTAGATATCGAAAAATTGTGCGGCGCACCAGTATTGCAGAGAACTCAGTACATTCTGCAGTCCCATGAGCTAAAAAAGCAGTTGTGATGTTGTTGCTAATATTATTGTTTCATTTTTTGCTCTTTGGATATTCATCGAGTGATGGTGAGTGTTGAATTATCAAAAATAAAATAATTATCGATATGTAGGTAACGATTCAACACCTGATAAAAATTTCACTAGTGAAATATGTACTTGCCACTATTCACAAGTTTCCTTAATGAAATTTCTTAAAAATTCCACGGAGGAAAGGATGATATTCCATCAATTTGGTTGAATTTAAGATATAAAAAATTACTTTTTTCTCAAATATGGCGAAAAATTGGAGCGAAAGTAGGTTGAAGGTCAAAATAGATAAAGGCTGAATAAAAGAAGATAACTTTTATCTGATGTTAGCCTTGAAAATCATTTTTGTGTGATTTACTGCAAGCCTTTCTGAAACTTCCAGACCTCAGTTAATCAGAGATAGCAAGGGTCATCTCTTCCCTCAGAATACTCTATTGTTCACTGAAACTAGTTATTCTCATAAGAAAAATCAGCAGCTATCTTGATTCACATAAAGACAACTTAAATTCATTAAAGATTCTTATTTAACATATTTCAAGATATAGCACAATTGATCTCAAAGCCTGCATGATATTTCTTCAGCCCACAAACTACTTGAAACTGAAAAGTTATGATTTCAATCTCAAAAATGTGGGGGGAATCAATATTCTATTGCAAATTCGAGTGATAACGATAGTTGCCACTAGTAACAGAAACATAAAACTTAGGTCTCTGATTCGACCCTGGACCTAGTTTTAGATTAGGTTGAGTTAGGTTAGGTCCAAAGTGAGTCCAAAGCCGATTAGTTTGTATGGTGAGTGGTCTTTCAGATCAGATGGTAAGACTACGGCTCTTCCAAACTCTAGCGGGGCAGGCGCAAAGTATATGCTCTGCTGTTTCATTGTTAATGAGGTAGTAGGGTAGTCAAAGTGCAAGATTCCCATTTTGATACCGCGACAACCTTTCCATACGAGGGTGAGGGTTTTTGCACATCAGCTACACCTGATGCCCGTGCAGGGCTTTTTCGCCTCTGCTCATGGGGGGTTTGTTCCTCCACCTGAGACAGATTCTGCGTACGCCGCTCAAGAATTTGGCGGTTTTATAAGGGAGACGACTCAGTCGTTTTCTGGCTGCACCACCAAACATTTTTTTTAGGTTCAGTTATTGGATCAGGAGTTGGGTAGTTAAGAAGCTCTCGCTCCTGAACTAAATTTACAGGGAGGCAGTTGGAGTCGTAAACTCGACATCCATCTCCTCTGTAGACTCGCTTCTGAACTAAATTCACAGGAAGGTCAGTTGGAGTCGTAAACTCGGCATTCATCACCTCTAAAGACTCGCTCCTGAACTAAATTTACAGGGAGGTCAGTTGGAGTCGTAAACTCGATATCCATCTCCTCTGTAGACTCGCTCCTGAACTAAATTCACAGGAAGGTCAGTTGAAGTCGTAAACTCGGCATCCATCACCTCTAAAGACTCGCTCCTGAACTAAATTTACAGGGAGGTCAGTTGGAGTCGTAAACTCGACATACATCTCCTCTGTTCACTTGGACCTCGTTTCACTAAACATATGAGTCATCTCAACTAAATTTCCTATAATGCCCACAGGTAGTTTTTTCGACCAGAGATTCACTCATTTTCAACCTGAATTTTAAATTGTGTGAGTCACTGATCATCTCTGAAATTTCCTATTGCCATAGCGTGTACGGACCTGCTTTAAGACAATCAGATTATTTACGTCTCTAACTAGTCGTTAACATTTTTTTCAATGCGCGAGTTTGGCCATAATTCCTTTTAGACAACAGAATCAGGTTGGCTAAAACTATAAAAATTAAGGACTACTCACTTACTGAACCATGCCCAAAAAATATTGAATACCCGTTAGCCACAATATCTATTTATGAAATTACAAACATTTTTATAAATATTTACAGGTTTGGCACAAGAAATAGATCAGTACTCGTCATCCCAGAGATCAATAGAAATCTAATGAGGCGGATCACCCAAAATGGTGGACTAAATATTTTTTATCCATGATATGAGTAAAAAATGATAGGGATTGCTTAACAGAATTTCAAAAACAAAATTACGTCATTCTGAATTGAATATGGCGGGCACTGAGTTGACGGACTACTTTTTTATTTTTCTTCAAGCCTTTGATATAAGTATCAAAAAAATCAGGGATAGTTTGATGGAGTTCGAATACATGCATCAAATAGAATGAAAACGAAAAAATAATATCAAGTTTCAACAAAATACCTTGCCCCCGTTTTGAAGAAAGATTACAAAAAAAAACCAACATTCAATTACATGTTTCGAAAAGAACAAAATAATTTCTTGGGAAAGAAAGGTTTTGGCTTTCTACTTCTTCATCTTTATAAATGAATCTCTCTTGAAAATATACCCCTCTCAATTTAAATAAAATCAACATTAAATCAAATAAAAATAATCAATTCGTTACATAACACAATATACACGATATAAAAGCTTTACGTGTGCACCGGTGTTCCACAGGGTAGCGTCCTAGGACCCATTCTCTTTCTTTTATTCGTACATGACCTCAACAACAGTAATCGTCAACATTGTATAGTACAATTTGCCGACTATTCTTCGTTCACACTCTGAAGTCTTCAATTTATGAGAGATTGTCGAGTCAGGCCAATCAAACAATTGTTAGTATGCAAAAATATTGTTCTCAAAATGGTATCATTATGAACAGCTCAAAAACTAATACAATCGTCTTTTCAGTACATGAGAATTATCGCAGTGTTCTGGTCAAAATAAATGGCAAGTCAATACAACAAACCTCATCTGTAGAATTTTTAGATTTAAACATTGNATTATTTTTCCATAGAATTAGTTACGGGTAGGCAACAATTGAAAGCCGGCCCTTTTCAAAGTTCAAACTGCAAAATTTTTCACTTGATTCATAGTTGAGTAAATAAAGCTGATTAACCAAAACAGATAATCTAAAACACAGTCACAAGAATATCTCAAGGAGAATATAAAATTGAAACCAGCAAAGTCAAGCAACTATAATTATTAAACAAGCTCTTTGGTTCAATTTTATTCTAAATATGATTCATATCCGTGACAACAGCTTTCTCTCACACGTTACAAACTTTGTGTATAATAACTGTGATAACTAACTTTGGAGCTCTTTCAATCCTTTTTTGGTTGCAAAGTTACGAACTATAATTTTTCCTTGTCTCCAATAAGTACACCAATAAATCCGCAAACAGTAACACAAATTCAAAGTAGTAAATGTCGCTGTATTGAGAATTGAAATGCATTTCGACAAGGTTGAAAAGATCCCATTCTTCCATTGTCTGACTTTGATATCTTGCCTTCAAGAGTTAAAACACTTGTTGAGATTTCAAGAACTGTTATGTGAATATCAATAAAATATTCAATAGGTTCATCATGGATTTCCATCAACTATTAATCAAATCATCTAAAAGAACAATTCATTCAGGCCAGTCTCAACTCCCTACACTGTAGGTTAATAGACTGACACCTATTAGAAAACAACTACTCCCCTGGCTAATACCACGAAGGGCGTTGGATTATATCCGACAGGTGTCATGTCAATGCAGGATTCTTCACTGAAGTTATTCCTGCATATGCTATTGGCGATACAACTGCCGCGATAGATTTTCAATTATTGAAATACACTTGCAGACCAGTTTCGGGCTGTTTGGCCACTCGTCAGTACAAGGTAGTGTATATCATCAACATCAAGTCGATGATTTCCGATAATTGAAAATCAAATTCCTTCAGAGTATCATTCCTCGAACTAAGCTGAAGCATTCAACAAACAACAGGTTTGTCGTCGCTCCATCTGCCTGTGAACGAGGTAACCAACTGCATATCCGAAGTTTGCCCAATTCCTTGTACAAGGAAAGAAAACTGTTCACAAATAGTCAGTGGGCATACTTGAAGACTGGCTATAAATCAAATCATCTGAAAGAATAATTCGTTCAGGCCAGTCTCAACTCCCTACACCCTCCCTACACTGACTATATGTGGAAAGTTTTCTTTCCTTACACGAGGAATTGTGCAAATTTCGGATATGCTGTTGGTTACCTCGTTCACAGGCAGATGGAGTAACGACAAACCTGTTGTTTGTTTTATGCTTCAGCTTAGTTCGAGGAATGATACTCTGAAGGAATTTGATTTTCAATTATCGGAAATTATCGACTTTATGTTGATGATATATACTACCTTGCACTGACCGAGTGACCAAACAGCCCGAAACCGATCTGCAATAATTGAAAATCTATTGCGGCAGTTTTATCGCCAACAACATATGCAGGAATAACTTCAGTGAAGAATCCTGCACTGACACCTGTCGGATATAATCCAACGCCCTTCGTAGTATAAGCCAGGGGAGTAGTTGTTTTCTGATAGGTGTCAGTCCATTAACCTACAGTGACTGGCCTGAATGAATTGTTCTTTTAGATGATTGGATTTATAGCCAGTCTTCAAGTATGCCCACTGACTATATGTGAAAACTATTAATCAATTGCATCATATTTTCCAAAGATATTTTCATTAGGTCAAACTTGGTTATTCATTTTTTTTTCAAGACAAAACACAAGCACAACAGGAGAATTATTAAGGCGCTCTGAGAGCGGTGCCTGTGCGAAAGTAGCGATTTATATTGAATTTTATTTGCTGGAGATGAAATCCATTTGGAAAACCGTTCACAGGAATTATCTTCCACAAAAACGCAGTTCTTCAAATGAAATTTCACTAATTTCCTTCTAGTCAAAGATTAATTTCGCAAATTGAATTAAAGAATTCAAATGGATTGATAATTCAAAATTTATTCATTTCATGGCATATTTGAATTTCACGAGAACTGAAAGTCGCAGCAGACTTTTTCAACAATGGAATTCAAAAACTTGTATGAAACTGTTAAGGAAATATGTCATCGGATATTATACAGCGTGACTCACGGTCGATGGTAGGTTAGACGTTTCTGGAAAACGCAAAGCATGATTTTTCTGAAAATTCCACCTCTCACATTTCCTCACCTGTTCTATCGATCTAAAATATTTTCAGCATTGCGGCGTTGCCACTTCCATCAAAAAGTCCTAGCAACTTTATTTTTTTAAATGGAACACCCCGTATATTAATACATTTTTGGAATCG